TAGGATTATTATTATTATTATTTATTTGCTATTTATTATCATTATTATTATTATTATTTATTGCATCCTGGTCTATGGAAAAGTAAAGTGATCTCTGTGGCTGAGTTTGTTTTGTTTGAGTTTGGTTTCGTAGCTGTTGTAGACAGACTTCGCTGCACATTTTGTGTTATAATTTTGTGTCATTTCTGGTATTCAGTGTGGGTTTGTCAAAGAGTTGTGACTGAAAATAAACACAGTGAACCCACACAAGTAGAAACACCCACATGTGTGGAATGACACTGAAATACTCTTCCATTCGCAGTCGTCTTGTCTAGCTAGCTGTTTATTCATGTACAGTAAGATTCAGTACTGTGATGCTTTTATTTGCTTGTTTTGTGGGTAAATCTGTTGTTTCAAAATACTTTCATTTCTTACATGTCGCTTTGGCTGTTTGTGTATAAACTAGTGCTGTCAAAAGATTAATCATGATTAATCACATTCAAAATTTTTGTTCAAAGATTTTGCTTGTATTTGCATAAGTTACGTATGTGTTTATATTTATTTTACTGGTTTGAGCCTTGCTTGGGTCAGTTGGCGTTTCCGGTGTGGAGTTTGCATGTTCTCCCTGCATTCGCGTGGGTTTGCTCCGGTTTCCCCCACAGTCCAAACACATGCGCTATTGGGGAACTGGGTAGGCTAAATTGTCCATGGTGTATGAGTGTGTAAACGAGTGTTTATGGGTGTTTCCCAGTACTGGGTTGCAGCTGGAAGGGCATCCACTGTGTAAAATATGTGCTGGATAAGTTGGCGGTTCATTCCACTGTGGCAACCCCTGATTAATAAAGGGACTCAGCTGAAAAAAAATGAATGAATCGTTGCATCACCCTAAAGAAGATATTTTAAAGAATGCTGAAATCCTGTAACCATTGACTTCTATAGTATTTAATTTTCCTTCTATGGATGTCAATGATCGCCTGTTTTCTGCTTTCTTCGAAAGATGTGCCAGAAGAAGGAAACTTGTAAATCTTTGGAACCACTTAAGGCACAGTAAATAGTGAGGAAATGAACATTTTTGGCTGAACTATCTCTTTAAATTTAGTTGAACTTGTGTGCTTGCGCTAGATTCCTCCTTGTCTTTATCTTTGACACTCTTATATGTAATTGACCCATAAATGGAAATGATTACACCGCAACACGAGACCAGGGCAGAAATGAGGGATTCAGTTCGCATATGCTCAATAAACTTTACAATCTTGACAGTAAGTGACTGTGTGAACTTTATCCTTATTATTTGTCCTTTTGTGGTCTTGAGGAAACGAGTGAATCGTGTTCAGATAGTCTGAATAATGTGACTCAATCAGTCATTACGACAGTCGTTCACATGTTAGGATCAGTATCATTACTGAATTATTGAAAGTTATACCATCCTGCTTTTGGTTAGTTTGTTGATGCTGGCTTTGCTCTCTCACACTCTCTCTTCTCACCAGCTTGGAGATGAATAATTCATAATAATATAAAGACTTTAGCACTTTTGTTTAATCAAAAAAGAAGAATAGATTGCACTCATTTATTTTGCCTTTTGAACTTAAAGGTGCAGTGTGTAAGTTTGACACCCAGTGGTTGAACCTGGTATTGCACCCCTTGTTCAATACTCATGTTAGTGCAGGTTGCCAGATTGACAACATCAGCAGGAGTGAGCCTGACTTTCAAGCCTGAAGGCTGATTTACATCATGTTCTATATCAGTGGTTCCCAAAGTGGGGGTCAGGACCCCCTGGAGGCGCGCAAGACAATAGCTGTGTTTCCAGCCACCTGTTTTTATGCACATTTTGGATATGCACATAAAAAACGGTTGATGGAAACGTCATGATGCGCATCCATTTTCAAAATGCACATAAAAACATGCATGGCAAGTTTATTTATATAGCACCTTTCATACACAGTGGCAATTCAAAGTCTTTTACATAAACAAGAATAAAAGAGACGAGTATGAGAAAAATAATAATAGAAAAAAAAATTATAAAAATAATAATAAAAACAGATAAAAACAAATAAAACAGGTTATAAAAGAATGAAAAATAAAATAAAAGAAATACACAATGATAATACATAATAAAGACATAATAAATGCTAATTTTAGGGCACACTGGCTTATAGATTAAAACTATCATACTAACATCTAAACAAAACCTTATTTTGATTTCACAGGGACTGAAATAAAAGTAAGCAGTGTTCCAGTAATTAAAGTCTGTTGGGGCGTGTGTCGGAGGATGAGGGTGCTGCTGATGCAGTATTGACACAGGTCTGTGTGTTGCTTGTGTTTGTGGTGATCTTGTCGCTCTTCAACCCTCAGGCTATGTGCACTTGTGAACAGGCTTTAGGGACTTACACTGAAGACACAATAAACACCTGCTCACTGTTTGCCATTGCAGATCCATTTGCAGGTGGAAATGTGACCTCCGTGTTCAGGGTGACCTTCTAGTGCATGTGTTGGCTGAATGACTTCCTTCTTTACTTTTGAACTGTGAAAACACAGGCCGCTCTTATTGTCTTGTCAGGGCAGACACACCTCACCCAGATGAATCTGAGCCACAGTGACAATGCTCAAAACGGCAATTCACTTCAATTCCAGTTAATAAACAGTGTTTCAAAGCAGCTTCGCAAACATTTCATTTCAATCAAAGTCAGAAAACATTGAAGTCTGTGTATGTACTTGAAAAGTATACTTGAATGACCTACTACTTCCAACAAGATTCTGTAGTACGCATCTAATGAATGCTGTGCTATCCCATGATGCACTACGAGATAATTTGTGAATAGGACAGAAGCGATACAACTGATGTCGGTAGGTTATGTGGTAATAATGCGTCCAAATTTCATTTATACCGCATAATTCAAATTCAAATATATTACATATTCGAGTAATAGGCGATTTCGAACCCAGCCCAATAGTGTGCCCAAAACAAGTACATATACAATGCTGTGATGACAAGATGGTGACTGTTTGCCCCGGCCACTTGTACCTTCAGTTGCGCTTTTTAGAAAGTGAACGAATTAATAAACAAACAAACGAATGACCGATTGACTGAACAACTGAACGCACAAACGACAAAACAAACAAATTAGTTAGCAAACGACCAAATGAATGAACAATCAACCGAACAAATGACCGCAGTAATGATTAAATTGACTATTGCACAAGTGACTGCACAAACGAATGAATAAACAATTGAACAAACAACTGAATGAATGAATAAACAAATGAACGACAGATAGAATGAATGACTGAATGCACAAACAACCAAACAAACGAATTAATGGACATACGTCTGAACGAACTATTAATGAACTACCGGAAGAATGAAGAAAAAAACGAATGAACAAACAAATGAACGAATGAATGAACAAACAAATGAATGACAGATTAACTGAATGCTAAAAACAACCGAACAAACAAATTAGTGAACATAAGTCTGAACGAACTATTAATGATCGACCGACAGAATGAACAAACAATTGAACAAACGAACTAACAAACGACCGAACTAATGAGCAAACAAATGAATGACAGATTGACTGAATGAACAAACAAATTAGTGAACATAAGTCTGAACAACTATTAATGATCGACCAAAAGAATGAACAAACGAACGAACAAACTAACGAACAAACAAATTAATGACAGATTAAATGAACGTACAAACAACCGAACAAACAAATTAATGAACATGTCTGAACGAACTATTAATGAACGACCAAAAGAATGAACAAACGAACAAATGAACCAACAAATGAACGAATGAATGAACAAACGACCGAATAAATGAACAAACAAATGACAGATTGACTGAATGCACAAACAACCGAACAAACAAATTAATGAACATGTCTGAACGAACCATTAATGATCGATCGAAAGAATGAATAAATGAACGATTGAACAAACAAACAAACAAATAAACAAACAACCGAACTAATGAACAAATATATGACAGATTGACTCAACGCACAAATAACCGAATTAATGACCATGCATCTGAACGAACTAAAAATGATAATGAATGACCGAAGGAATGACCAAACGAATAAATAAACAAACAAACAAATAAACGAACTATTAAACAAACGACTGAACGAATGTGCAAACAAATGAATGACATATTGACTAAATGACTGAGCGCACAACAGATCAAACAAACAAATGAATGAACATAAGTCTGAACGAACTATTAATGAACGATCGAAAGAATAAACATGCAAATTAATTAATGAATGAACAAACAACAGTTCTGGCAACCACAGCTCATATTTTATTTTACTATATTTAAACTGTACAGATCTTTTTATGGTGTAAATAATCATTTATTCTATAGAACTTTACAAAAAATTGCTTGATTAAAATGTGCTTGAATAGAAAATTAAATAGAAAAAAAATACAGCATAACTGTAGAAAAGCCTGTCACAATCATTACAGCATTGATTGCAGTTAGTAAGTAAGAGTGAAAGGAAATAAACATTATGGATATCCAAAAGTGTTCTTAAATCTTCCTAAATGACAATCCAGCTAATGCTAATGGAGATAGATCATTTGAAAGTCCTCCATTGGGATGTTTGCTGTATGGCCCGTCAGTTGTTGTACTGGCTGTGGTTTGGCTTGTTGTCCTGCAGACAGATCGGTGTTCATTTTAGACTGTGAGTGATGTGATCTGCATACAGCTCTTCTCTGTGCTTTTGCTCCATTTATCTTCCCCTCAGTAGTCATTTATAATGAAACTATCCCAGCATGAGCTGCAGCCAGTTACTGATTTTCACCAAACATTTGTTTGCGCTTGCTTTTCAGACGTTTAGTAAATCTAAAAGTAGAAATTATTAATGCAGATTTTTTTTTTTACTTCTGATGATAAAAAGTGGCCTTAAGAGTTCATTTCAAAGTAAATGCTGCAGTACGCATCTGTGACCTGTTTAGCAAATGTTTCCTCAATATACATGTTTAATGATCGCTCTCCTGTTCTTCTTCCTCAGCGGTGAAATGGACGATGGAAAGCCGGTGTGGGCGCCTCACCCTACAGACGGGTTCCAGCTGGGCAGGATCATCGACATCAGTGCCGATAGTCTGACCATCGAACCTCTCAACCAGAGAGGAAAGGTACGGTTCAGCATCTGCAGAATTATACACACAGTTTCACATTTCAAGCTTAATATTGATGCACATAAGTACATCAACACAATACATGCATATTAATACATGTTAGATTCATGTGGGATTTTTCCCTGGACCACAAAGCAAGTCAATCGTTTGTTAAATTGATATAATATAAACAGTTGGGTTATTCTTCCTCCTGTAATAATTTTTCTTTGCAAATATTCCCCAAATGATGTTGAAAAGAAAGTCTTATTTGTTTTATTTGTGCTAGAATAAAAGCAGTTTTTACTTGTTTCAAAGCCATTTTAAGCTCAATATTATTCACCCCCTTCAGCAATATTAGTGTTGGATTGTCTCCAGAACAAACCACTGTTATACAATGACTTGCCTAATTACCCTAACTTTACCCTAATTACCCTAGTGAAGCCTTTACATGCCACTTTAAGCTGAACACTAGTGTCTTGAAGAATATCTAGTCTAATATTATTTACTGCCATCATGACAAAGAGGAAATAAAGCAGTTATTAGAGATGAGTTAATAACACTGCTATGTGCAGAAGTTTTTCTGTTGAACACAAATTGGGGAAAAAACATTCGCCCTGCTCTGTTTTTTCCCCAATTTCTGTTTATCGGAGAGCAGATTTCTCCAGCACATTTCTGCACATAATAGTGTTAATAACTCACCTCCAATAGCTGATGTATTCTATCTTTGCCATGATGACAGTAAATAATATAAGACTAGATTAGACTATTAGACTTAATTCATTTGTTCTTCATTCATTCATTCATTCATTCATTCATTCATTCATTCATTCATTCATTCATTCATTCATTCATCCATCCATTCATTCATTCATTCATTCATGTATGTTTTGTTTATTCATTCATTTGTTTGTTTCAGTCATTCATTTATTCATTCAGTTCTTTGTTTATTCACTTATTTGTTTATTCATTCATTCATTCATTCATTCATTCGTCTATTGGTTCATTTGTTTGTCTGTTCGTTCATTCAGTGATTCTTTAGTTTATTCATTTATATTTGATGATTATTTAGTTCGTTCATTTATTCATTTGTTTGTTCATTCATTCATTTTTTCATTCATTCGTTTGTTTGTTCATTCATTTGTTTGTTTTAGTCATTCGTTTATTCGTTCATTCATTCATTCATTCAGTTCTTTGTTTATTCACTCATTTGTTCATTCAGTCATTCATTTTTTTTATTCATTCATTTATTTATATATTGGTTCATATGTTTGTTCGTTCATTCATTCAGTGATTCTTTCGTTTATTCATTTATTTTCATTCATTCTTAAGTTCGTTCATTTATTTGTTCATTCATTCTTTGTTTATTGATTTGTTCGTTCATTCATTTATGTATTCATTCATTCTATATATTTTTTTGGTCTTTCGTTCAATCATTCATTCATTCATTCATTTGTTTGTTCATTCATTCATTTGTTCATTTGTTTTGTTTGTTTCAGTCATTCATTTGTTTATTCATTCATGTATGAGGTTCTTTGTTTACTTACTTATTTGTTCATTCAGTCAATAATTTGTTCATTCATTCATTCATTTGTCTTGGTTCATTTGTTCGTTCCTTCAGTGATTCTTTAGTTTATTCATTTATTTAAAAAAAAAAATGTATTCATTCATTCATTCATTCATTCATTTGTTCGTCAATTGTTCTTTAGGTTATTCATTTATTTTAATGATTTTTATTAATTTATTCTTTAGGATATTCATTTAATTTTAATAATTTTTTCATTCATTTATTCATTCATTCATTTGTTTCTCAATTATTCTTTAGTTTATTAATTTATATTTAATCATTCTTTAGTACTTTTATTTATTCATTTGTTTGTTCATTCTTTCATTTATTTGTTCATTCATTCAATTGATTTGTTCATTGTTTATGCATTCGTTCATTTGTTAAGTCATTCAATATTTTTTTATTTGATCTTTGTTTGTTTGTTCGTTCGTTCGTTCACTCAATCATTTGTCTATTGTTACACAAGAAAAAAACTCTTTCTCAGTGTGCTTCACCGTGAGCCCACTGTTCTAATAAGTTGCTGAAACTCTTGCCTCTTGTTTGAATAAAAATAAATCAAATAAAATAAGCATTAATCGTTACTGGCTGATGTTTATGAATGAAGTTGTGTTATTAACAGTCAGTTAGTAATGATTCTAGTGTGCTGGAATTATATTCATAAATCTTTGCACTCAAGGCGCTTCATGTTTGAGGTCGTCAGTATCGAAGTATTGAAATAAAGTCTTCAGTTCTCTAAAGCAGGAGAAAGACACGCATGAGCTTTAGAGTTCAGCTGGACATTAGAAGTGCTCGCTCTCCTACTGGTTGTCAAGGAGCACCACTGAAATTCTCCTGAAAAAAGAAAACTGCATTCCCAAGTGCCAGTAGAGCTGATGAAACGGCTTTATTTACACGCTTTGAGAGCAAGGAAATGGAAATATAGTCTCACAATGAAGATACTCACATGCTTTGACTCTGCACAAGCTGAATGATCAACTCTCCGGCTGAATGCTTTTATTTTCAGGGCTTCTGCAAACACATCCTGTTGTCCATATGGAGTCCTGCAGTCCAGTAGAAATGAATCTGTGTGTGTGTGTGTGTGTGTGTTCATGTGTGACAACTACAGGACTGTTGTGTGCAGCATTACATCCAGCCCATGTGATCTGTGTGCAGTGTGATGTCACTGGGCTGTGAACGCACAATAGGCCGTCTGTTCACATGCTGCAAGTGTGTGTGTGTGTGTGTGTGTGTGTGTGTGTACACATGTACTGTTATCAGGGCAGTAGAATGAAAGTGGAAACCTTCACTTTTGCAGTTAATGTTGAAGGGACGGTTCACTTAAAAATGAACTTGTACTCCTCATTTACTCGCCCTTTACTTGTTCCAAATCTGAGTTTCTTTCTTCTGTTGCACACAAAGGAAAATATCAGATTAGCGCAACAAATAAACCCCGCCCCCTACTCAATATTCAGTTTCAGCAGGGAATGCATCATCATGCAGAGACAAAAGTCTGCGGCAACTTCCGGTTCACTTCAAACACAGAAGTGCTGGAGTCCACGTCAGAAGCCAGCAAAATCACCGGCAGTTGATTCATTCTTTCATTCAGTTGTTTGTTTGTTTGTTTCTTCATTCGTTAGTTCATTCCTTTATTCGTCTGTTCATTCATTCATTTGTTAGTTCATTCATTTGTTTATTCGTTCATTTGTTAGTTTGTTCATTCATTCGTTTGTTTGTTTATTAGTTCATTCGTTTGTTTATTCCTTCGTTTATTCAATCATTCATTCCTTCGTTTCTTAATTCGTCTGTTCATTCATTCATTTGTTAGTTCATTCCTTCATTCATTTATTTGTTTATTAATTAGTTCATTTCTTCATTTGTTTTTTATTCTTTCATTCATTCCTTTATCCGTCTGTTTATTCATTCATTTGTTTGATCAATTATTCATTCGTTTGTTTGTTGGTTCATTCCTTTGTTCGTTCATTCATTTGTTTGTTTATTAATTTTTGTTTGTTTGTTCCTTCATTTATTTGTTTGTTCGTTCATCTGTTTGTTTATTAATTTGTTTATTTGTTCATTCGTTCGTACATTTATTTGTTTGTTTATTTGTTCGTTTGTTTGTTTGATCCTTCATTTATTTATTTATTTATTTATATTTATATATTTATTTATTTATTTTATTTATTATTATTATTATTATTATTTTATGTTTATTTATTTTTTTGCCAATTGGTAGTCTCCCAGTGTCCCATTTAGGCCTGGTTCAGTCTAAAATATAAGCTTTTTTTAATGCTATTTGAGCAAACAACTAACAAAATTACTATGCTTTTAACACTCTTTGGCTACTGTTGTAAAATAAGTATTTTCAGTCCAAATTCGGAAAGAACTTTTTACATTTTCAGGATTTCTTTGTTCAAGATGATAGGATTTTGGACATGTTTGGAAGAACACGAGGGTAAAAATGACGACAGAATTGAGATTATTTTCCAAGGAAACTAACCCTTAAAATATCAGCATGGAACTAATCCTGCATCGTTTGCACTCCGCAAAGGAAAAACATTAAATGTGCAGCTTGTTTTTTTCAAAATTGCATGTATCTAGAAGCATTCAGAAAACACCTCGAACTAATGGTCGAACAATATGGGTTATTTAAAGGCTGATGTCGATATATTGGAAACCGATGTCCAATATTTAGGCAAAATAATGTAGACTACATTTAAATGAAAATAAGTTATATTATATTTAAAATTATTTTAAATTAAATATAATTAAGTAATTTGAAAATGGATTAAAAAAACTTAATATGCAAAGTAAATATGCTCATACTTTAAACAGTTGTTTTAAACGTCTTTGAAGACACTTGTACATTTTGTTACATAAATAATATATTTATTATATATATATATACATGCCACGATGTCGTTGAGAAAAGATAAAAAACATATTTAAATGTGTTATGAAATTGTTCGCTTAGTGTTCAGCATGTTAATAGTCATCTCTTGGCCATGATAATATATCAGTCGACCACTACACAGAATTTTCTTGAAACGACACATCCTCATGCTAAAAGCACACTGAACACATTAGTATTCACAAATCAGTACGGTGATAAACACTCTCCACTGCTCGGAAAGTCCACTAGCAAAATCTAATCAACCCTCCACAGCCGTTAGCATTAGCTTACATTGATGGTTGCAAGACATCATTTCTTTTCCAGAAAGTGGCATCACTACACACATGCAAAAATCAGGACTTTTTGATTTAGTGGCTAATTCGTATGAATTCGTATGATCTAATTCGTACAATTTAGTATGATTTGCTCATCCCCCAATGACGGTTGGGTTTGGGGGTGGGGTTAGGTGCCACGCCTCCTTTTTAAAATCGTACAGTTTCGTACGACTGAACTTGCCACTAAACTGGCAAAACGTAAAACACTTACATTTCCTCGTGAGATCAGGCTGGATATTCAGACTCGACACAAGACAAAACCTTGGTAAGAAAAGCTTTTCTTGCAGTGATGCGTGAAGCAAGTTCTGTGAATGTGCCGTGCTTTTAATGTTAAAGTGTTAATGCTAAACCACTGCTCCGTGTGTGTGTGTGTGTGTGTGTGTGTGTGCGTTCACGGCATGCGTGTTTTCACTGCTGTGTGTGTTTGTGTGCGTGCTGGGTTAAATGCAGAGCACAATATCTGAGTATGGGTCACCATATCTGGCCAAACGTCACTTCACTTTTTAAAGCTGTTTCTTTGCTTTCCAGAACTTCCAAGCTCCCGTGGATCAAGTCTTCCCTGCTGAGGATGATGTCAACAAACATGTCGAGGACAACTGTAAGTGTGTTTGAGATGCTTGTGTGTGGGACACAGTTACTGATGCACTGTTAATCGTGAGTTCGTGTGTGTGTGTGTGTGTGTGTGTGTGTGTGTGTGTGTGTGTGTGTGTGTGTGTGTGTGTGTGTGTGTGTGTGTGTGTGTGTGTGTTTGTGTGTGTGTGTGTGTGTGTGTCACAGGCTCGTTGATGTACTTGAATGAAGCCACGCTTCTGAATAATGTCCGTGTGCGCTATAGCAAAGACAAGATTTATGTAAGTATTCTCTTCTAAAGTCTTATACTCTGCATGTTATCATCACTATTCTTTGTGTGTGTGTTTTACTTTATGGGCCCAAGAAGGTCACTGTTTCAAGTCCCGGCTGAGTCAGTTGGAGTTTGCATGTTCTCCCCGTGTTGGCGTGGGTTTCCTCCGGGTGCTCCGATTACAGCCCAAACACTTGCACTATAGGGGAATTGATGAGTGTGTGATAGTTTATAAGTGTTTTTAGTATTGGGTTGCGAACGTAGGGGCATCCGCTGAGTGGGGATCGAAAGTTTAAGCATCAGAGGTAAAAATTTGTATTAATGTGAATAAATAAGTTAAGAAAAGATGGAAAAATCTCCAAAAGGCATCAAATTATAGATCACATTTAATATGTCAAAAAAAAAGTTTGATTTTATTTCCATCATTTACACTTTCAAAATAACAGAAAACAAAAACATGGCATCTGCAAAAGTTTGGGCACCCTGCAGAGTTTAAAGCATGCACCTGACAGTGTCATGGATTGTTCTCAATCGTCTGGAAAGACCAGGTGACGTCAATCTCAAAGGTTTTAAATGCCCAGACTCATCTGACCTTGCCCCAACAATCAGCACCATGGCTTCTGCTAAGCAGTTTTCTAGAAAACTGAAACTGAAAATAGCAAGAGAAGGCTATAAGAAGATAGCAAAGCGTTTTCAGATGCCAACATCATCTGTTCTGAATGTAATTAAGAAATGGCAGTCATCAGGAACAGTTGAAGTTAAAGCAAGATCTGGAAGACCAAGGAAAATATCAGACAGAACCCACGTTTGACTGCACGATCCCTCCAGAGAGATCTGGCAGACACTGGAGCTGTGGTACACTGTTCCACTATGAAGAGAAACTTGTACAAATATAGTCTTCATGGAAGAACCTCTTCTACGTCCTCAGCACAAAAATCTGCGTTTAAACTTTGCAAATGAACATATAGACAAGCCTGATGCCTTTTGGAAACAAGTTCTGTGGACCGATGAGGTTAAATCAGAACTTTTTGGCTGGTTGGAGACTTTTCTATCTTTCCCTGGCTTCTTTATGCACATTCATACACATTTTTTACCGGGGGTGCCCAAAGTTTCGTTCCCCACTGTATGCTGCCGGACACCTGATTAACAAAAGAATAAGCCAAACGAATGAATTCGGGGGAGCTCTGGAGACTTACCTGAGCTCAGACTCGCCTCTCTCCTGATGAAACGGGAGGAAGCCCCAGGCTCAAGGATCTTCTGAGCTCAGGGCTCTCTCCCGGGACAGCGTGACAAACACAGTTTATTATCAGTCATCAGCTAAGTGTGTATAATATTTCACAATTTCATGGTCTCTCTGCATTTTTGGATTTACTAAACGCAGCCATGGAGATCACCACAAGAGTCTTTTGTCAGAAACACCCTCATAGTTTGAACAGCAGCTCACATTCAAATGCAGATCACTCCTGCACTTCATTAAGCCCTTTTCTTCATGAAAGGAGGGAATATTTGAGTTATTATTTCCTTGAAAAACATTAGATTTTTGTTCCATGCCAAATAAAATAACATTTCCTCATATGACTGTGTGTTCCAGACGTTCGTGGCCAACATCCTGATTGCTGTGAATCCATATTGTGAGATTCCTAAGCTGTATTCTCCAGAGACCATTAAACAGTACCAGGGCCGATCGCTGGGCACGCTGCCGCCACACGTCTATGCAATTGGTGAGCATGACTTTAATATTCAAGATGTGGTATTAAAGGAACACTCCACCTTCTTTTGGTATATGCACAGCAAGTAAACTTCAGGTGAAAGATTGATGTGACTATTTTCAATTTCATACGGTTCCTTTTATTGTTATATTTGTATTCAACTATTGACATTTACATAGACTTCAGCATTCATATAGTTGTTCAAGCGTAAAACAAGACCGTTTAAACGCAAGCACCATCAGAAGCAGCAGGCGAGCGCTGAAAATCCACTGAAAATACTGTGGTAAAATAAATGTCCATAATTTAAAGACATGGTGCAGAACAATGTGATTTAATGCAGGGCTTCTTGTCTGATCTGACACCCACTTTATATCGTTTCTCAATCAGGCAATAGAGATCATTGATTTGAAACACACCAGATCTTAAAGGTGGTGAGTTTATAATGGCATGACAGTTCACCGGAAGCACCTCAGCTGGCTTTTACCGAATAAAAAAATCCTCCTGCATATAGTTGATTGGCTTATTTTACAGCTCCCTGATATTAATGATTTCACACAGCACCTGAAAATAGTCACTAGCTAGGGAACAATGCTGCGTAATATCATTATTCCTTGATAATTATGCCTGAATGAGTATAATTCCTGTCTATATCAACCTATAATAGCAACGTTTCATTTTCCATAGTCTTAGTGAACTACAGAAGAGTCCAGCTTCAAAGGGAGAAATTATAAAAATTCTATTCCTTGAGCGAGATGCTAACGGTCTAATCCGATTCAATGATTTATGCTAAGCTAAGCTAAAAGTGCACCCGCCAGACCCGGAGATCCGCTCAATGGATTAAAAACTGGTAAATGTCACTGTTCAAAGGTCCCATTAAATTAAATTAAAGGGGCGGGGCTACTCTTTGTCCTGCCCTTTCACCATGTTTTGATTGACATCACGTCAAACATCAAACAAAAATGCATATTTGAAAGCACTTCGTGGGACCTTTAACTCTCTAAAACGAGCCTATAGTTAAAAAAAAGTGGAGTGTTCCTTTAAGACTGACATATTTGTATTTAATATTTAGCATAATGGCTTGTGTTTGTTGTGTTCAGCGGATAAAGCTTACCGTGACATGAAGGTGTTGAAGATGAGTCAGTCCATCATTGTGTCAGGAGAGTCTGGAGCTGGGAAAACAGAAAACACCAAGTTTGTTCTCAGGTATAGCAATAAACGTTTGTGTATTAATTGAATAGTATGAATGAATATGAAGTAGTGTTATCACAATACTGGAATTCGGTACCAATCGGTACTGATATTTTAAAAACATCAATTTCCCGCTAACATTTGAGCGCAGTTGAGCAAGTTCTTAAACAGTGCTGATTGGCCATTGTGTTCATGTGCTCAACAGAAATGACTGTGATTGGCCGTGAAGGTCATCAGTTCACTGAACTCACCGCTGTTGAGTGTAAACACAGATACAGAGACACTGGATCGTTTAAAGCAGCAGCAGATTGCTCATATGTCAGCTTATAGACAAACTAGCTGATTGATGCGACTTTAAACGCTCCCCTGTCTCTGTATCTGTGGGTAATGAGTAGGCCCACACGGAATCTGTGCGCGCAGAATTCTGCTGATTTTTAGAACATCATTAATTCTGTTTATTTACTTGAGTAAATGTGTAAATCTGAATTTATTCAGTTTTTATTCAGTAATTTATTACTTTTTATAATTTTTATAATATAATTCCGCTAAAATCCACAGATTTTTACCAAAATTCTCAGCAGAAATAGCAAAAAATGTCCGCAGATTCCGTCTGGCCCTAGTAATGAGTTCATTTGTGATGGGCTACTCTTTCCTTTCGCAGGTACTTGACTACTTCTTATGGAACAGGTCAAGACATTGATGAAAGAATAGTTGAAGGTGCGTTTAATGGACTAATCTAGATGTGTACTTGATTAAAACTCTTGTAAGCTCAGGGAAATCTGATGTGTTTTGTCCATCATTTCTAGCAAACCCACTCCTGGAGGCCTTTGGAAATGCCAAAACTGTCCGAAACAACAACAGCAGTCGCTTCGGGAAATTTGTGGAGATTCACTTCAATGAAAAGGTACGTCTGTAGTACAAACTAAATATATATATATATATATATATATAGTGCTTTTTAATGCACAGTGCTGTGTTTGTAGTGAATGTATGATCAGTGTTGGGTGTAATTGGTTGCAAAGTAACTAGTTACCGTCATTAGATAACCTTTCTGCTGAAAAAAGTAAAGTAAGGGAATACTTAGGTCATTTAATTGGAGTTATTTGTAATTTACTTGCTTTAAATACTGTTAAATTCACATAAAAATATATAAATTCAACATTCCTTCATTCATTCATTTTCTTGTCGGCTTAGTCCCTTTATTAATCTAGGGTCACGACAGCGGAATGAACCGCCAACTTATCCAGCAGGTTATTACACAGCGGATGCCCTTTTAGCCGCAACCCATCTCTGGGAAACATCCACACACACTCATACACTACGGACAATTTAGCCGAACTGAATCGACACGTGTTTTTTTTTGTTTTTTTTTGGGACAACATAATTGTTTTCTGTTTAATCCACATGCATTTATAAAAACAATTAAATCAACTCAATTGTTTTGTGAATAACTGGATACACCTGCTTAAGAAAGAATGATTTGAGTGGAAGATTAATGTCAATATAATTATGCTGTCGTTATTACTTTACATCTTGAGTTTTGAAACATGCTTCACATTTCTTAAGGGTTATTTTTTTAAGCAAAGCTTAATGATATCAAGAGTTTAATTTGTATTCTGTATGTTTTTAAGTAGTATTGAGTAATTAAATTATTTATCAAGTAATTGGAAAGTAGTTTTAGTAATGTAATTAGTAATTAATGACTTTTGTGAAGTATCTTACCAACACTGGCTATGCTGAGTGGTGTTTTGGCTGTTGTTGTATTAGTGGCGAGTGCTGATGTGTGCTCTTGTCCTCCAGAACGCAGTGGTGGGAGGTTTCGTGTCTCATTACCTGTTGGAGAAGTCTCGAATCTGCACGCAGGGTCAGGAGGAGAGGAACTACCACATCTTCTACAGGCTGTGTGCTGGAGCTCCCGAAGACATCAGGGAGAAGTTTCATCTCAGCTCTCCAGACTGCTTCAGAGTGAGTCCCGGACGCCTCCAAATACAGTGAAAAACTGCAGTGCTGTGAAGTATTATAGCTGTTGATTATCAGAACATGAGTGCTTTGGGCTTCAGTGCCACATCATGCTTAAAGGAAAACTTCATCTTTATTTTTTTTGTGAAGTCTCCTAGATTTTTACAAGTCTCCTAGAGTTAAACATTCGACTTGAATCTATTCACCCAATTTCTTATTCTGGCGGGGTCACTTTTAGCTTAGCTAAGCATAATGAATTGAATTGGATTAGACCATTAGCATTTTATAAAAAAAAAATAAAATTATTTAAACCTCAAGTCTTCTGTAGTTATTTTGTGTAGCGACTTGAGCTTTAAATAGGACAACTACTCATTCATTAGTTACAATCATTCAACAATTACAATCATTAGTGTCCAATTATTGTTCAGTAGAATAACTGATCGTGCTCCATTTAGCATATCAGATACAAGGATCATCTTCTGGAGAAACTAGTTTAATTTTATTGTAAAAAAAAATACACATATTAACTATATTTATTGCATTTTTGTATAAACAAAGGCATCCTTTTATTTCTGTCAAAAACATTAATAGTCTTAATGATTCCCAGAGGGCGACGCAGTGGTGCAGTAGGTAGTGCTGTCGCCTCACAGCAAGAAGGTCGATGGTTCGAACCTCGGCTCAGTTGCCGTTTCTGTGTGGAGTTTGCATGTTCTCCCTGCATTCGCGTGGGTTTCCTCCAGGTGCTCCCGTTTCCCCCACAGTCCAAACACATGCGGTTCAGGTGAATTGGGTAGGCTAAATTGTCCGTAGTGTATGAGTGTGTGTGTGGATGTTTCCCAGAGATGGGTTGCGGCTGGAAGGGCATCTGCTGCATAAAAACTTGCTGGATAAGTTGGCGGTTCATTCCGCTGTGGCGACCCCGGATTAATAAAGGGACTAAGCCGACAAGAAAATGAATGAATGAATGATTCCCAGAGCTGAATGTGTGTCTGTTCTTGAACCACAGTCACTAAGACATTTTTTAAAACTTATTTATTGCCCTCGAATGGCTGGTCGAACCAGTGCAACCTTTTTTTTTTTTTAGAAACCTCAGTAATTTTTTAGCCAATAAAGACCCATTCTGGGTACCATGAAGCTAGCTTATAATATCATGGCAACAAAGAGTGATTAAAATCGAGCTGCCTTAACATTACTGCCTTAACTACACCGCTAACCCAGCTTGACAGTACAGGCCACTGATGTTCAAAGGACATGTTTCTAAACCATGTTCATTGTGTGCGTCTTGTTTTTAAATCTAGTATCTATGTCGAGGATGCACAAGGTACTTTTCCACCAAGGACTCAGACAAGCTGATACCTCAAAACCGCAAGAGTCCAGAGGTAAGGCACAGCTTTCAACTTTCACTTTATTAGTCGAGAAGGATCGGAGAGAATTCACTAACCCTCACTGAGCTATCGGTAATTAGTCTGAAGCAATTAAAGGAGACATGTTTTATCCATTTTTACAAGATGTAAAATAATCTTAGATGTCTAATCTTTATCCTGAAGTCATCTGGAGTGTCTTACCCATGAATATTGTTTTGATTGTGCTTTATCAGAGCATTTGAAGGAGTCAATAGGAGCTGAATCTGCTCTTATGACTCCATTAAACAGGCATTGGTTCATCCGAGCTGCACAAAGGTTTCATGTTCGAGGGGTAGTTCACACAAAAATGAAAATTCTGTCATTATTTACTCCTCCCAAACCAGTTTGAGTTTCTTTCTTCCATTGATCACAAAGGAACATATACTGAAGAATAAGGGGAATAAGCGACTGATAACTTCCAGTGTTTTTTTTGTTCCTGTTATTGATGTCCATGGCTGCTTTCTTCTAATGTTGTCTTAAACAGAAGAAAGAAACTCCTGAAAGTTTTGAGTGTGAGTAAATAGTGAGGAAATGTCCATTGTTTGTGTGAACTGCCTCTTGAATTCACAGATGCGAGGCTTTTCTCATATATATGGAATAATTTATGATGGGTGTCCAAACTCAGTCCTGGAGGGCCGGTGTCCTGCTGACTTCACCTGCCAGGAAGTTTCTAGTATACCAAGTAAGAGCTTGATGAGCTGGTTCAGGTGTGTTTGATTAGGGTTGGAGCTGAACTCTCCAGGACACCAGCCCTCCAGGACCGAGTTTGGACACCCCTAGTTTATGATTTCTGCATGTTGTGTTGACATTAATCTGATCATTTCACTAATCACTGGATTGTTTCTGTCTGTGGGTCCCTGATTCATCAAAGGATGGGAAGGTGAATATGGAGTGTGTTGTGCAGTCGAGGGGCGCTGGATTCATTTCTGCTTCTCTCTGTCCTACAAATACACAATCTGGGTCAAATCTGGAAAATAATGATTCTATAGTGGAGTTATGGGTTTACACCCCAACTTTATTGACAGGATTTTTCATAAAACTCACAAAATATCAACCGTTTTTGAATATTTATTGTTCAATCAAATATATATATATATATATATATATATATCTTGATAAGCAACCAAAAATCCAGATTTAATTAATTAATTAATTTTATATATATATATATATATATATATATATATATAAATAAATATATATATTTATATATATATATATATATATATATATATATATATATATATATATATATATATATATACAATCAGATTCGAGAACCAGACAGAACTGTTGTATAAATATGTATATATCAAAATAATAAAACAAAAAAAAATATTTGTTTTTAAGCTAGACTTGTGTTGGAGAGAAGGAAAATAAACCTTGATCTGAAATTTTCAGTTTATCTTATTTGTTAAATAATAATTAAATCTGGACTTTTGGTTGCTTATCAAGCTATCCTTGCCCTTGATGCCCATTTAACACTTAAAAATCTCAATTAATGCACGAAAGATGATCAAATACACGTCCAGAAACATGCAGAAGATGCTTCTTGGACATAAACTCTGTTTCAGTGCTTTTTAGATGTGGGATTCCTCTGTATCACCATAAAAACCAAGGCACTTACAGTGTGAAAATTAAAAAGGCTTTATTTACAAAACACACACATGTTGGTGTTGGTGGTTTACGAGGACTCTCCAGGGGCCTAATGTATTTTATACAGTAAAAATGGCTTGTTAAAAATCCCCTAGCTCTAAATCCAATCCTTACGGCAAAATTTGGAACGTCAAAAGACCCGTTAAGTAGGATTTTTAAGCATTTTGAATTACAAGGTCATCATGTCCTCGTAAACCACCATTATAGAGTACAACTAGGTCATATCGATGTCATTCCACACATTTTTGTCCCTGTAAACCACTAAAACCAGTACACACACATACATGGAGTGCTTGTTTTTACTATCAAGCATATTTGACCCAGGTTTTGTAAAAGCGGGAAGTTTCTTTCTCTCTTCGGGAGCTAAGCGGTGTTTTCTCTGCTGATTTGGCTTGTCTTTGTATAATCAAATAGGGTGTTCTTTTCTTAAAGGGACAGTTCACCTGAAAATAAATATTTCCTCATCGTTTACTCACACTCAAGAGGATGAGTGAATGATGACAGATTTCACATTTGTTTTGAACTATCCCTATCCAATATCCCTGTTAATGGTTTGGCAGGGGATGGTAGCAGTAGTGCTACAGCAGGATTTAACCATACAGTAGGTCTCATTTCAGTCCCACAGCACTGAAGATGTACATGGCATACAGTGACCCCTCTGGTTTACTGTAGTATTTGTTTCTGTTTAATAAAGACATTGTATATAGAGTGTGTGTTTATAGTAGTGCTTGTTATAAACATTGTATCCGTGCACTATATTTGAATAAATAAATCAATTTGCCCTCATAATCTTTAATCAAATACCAGAACTTTCCATCGAAACCGCTTTTCTTCCCTTCAGTCATATAAGGTGTGACTGTATTTCATTCAGGGCGGGGCTATCAGTCATTTAGGGTGGGGCTATCAGTCATTTAGGGCGGGGCTATCAGTCATTTAGGGCGGGGCTTTCAGTCATTTAGGGTTGGGCTATCAGTCATTTAGGGCAGGGCTATCAGTCAATTAGGGCGGTGCTATCAGTCATTTAGAGCGGGGCTATCAGTCATTTAGGGCGGGGCTATCAGTCATTAAGGCAGGACTATCAGTAATTTAGGGTAGGGCTTTCATTCATTTAGTTTGGCTATCAGTACTTTAGGGCCTGACTGTCAGTCATTTAGGGCGGGGGCTATCAGTCATTTAAGGCGTCACTTTGATAAATTTGGAGCGGGGCTATCAGTCATGTAGGGCGGGGCTATGAGTCATCTATTGCAGGACTGTCAGTCATTTAGGGTGGGGCTATCAGTACTTTAGGGCCTGACTATCATTAATTTAGGGCGGAGCAATCAGTCAATTAGGGCGTCACTTTGAAAAGATTTGGGGCGGGGCTGTCAGTCATGTAGGGAGGGGCTATCCAACATTTCGGGCAGGACTATCAGTCATTTAAGGCGTGGCTATAAGTTATCTAGATTGGACCTATTAGTCATTTTGGGCGGGGCTATCAGTCATATGGGGCGTGGCTATAAGTTATCTAGAGTGGACCTTTGTCATTTAAGGCGTGGCTATCAGTACTTTAGGGCTGGAATATCAGTAATTTGGGGCAGGACCATCTGTGCATCTCTTTCTTTCATCCATTCATCAATCTTCATCCATTTTGTTAGCAACGCCCATCTTCCAACAGTCCAATTGGTTCCCAAAGGATGAAATCATGCACCGCCCTACATTTACCTTCTAATTTCAGGACCGTTTTAATTAGATGTGCGTCACAATAGGGGGAACTATTAATTTCCATTTAATGCCGACTTTAAAATAGACACAGTCTCATCAGGTGTCTGACCGTGCAGCATCTGTGCCATTTAAAAATATCCTCACGCAGTCTCGTGATTGTCATGAAGGGCTGAAGATTTTGTGAAAGTCGTGATCTTAATGATAGAGTTCCTCTTTGATCTTCAAAGCTAACAAAAGTAATTCCCAGCATTATTATTATTATTGTTATTATTATGATTATTATTATTATTATTATCACACCCTCTGCTAGAATTTACTCACACCCACACTGCAGTTCATGATGAGCACTGAACACTCAGCGGTAACACTGTAGGACTGTCATGATGCATTTACAATCATGCCATGACTATGAAGGAGATTTCATGCATGCCTATGACAAGTGTCATTCACTCAGTTATGTCATTTTAAATACAAAGATGACATTGTCTTTGTCATGGAAACTTGACATTACCAAGACAACATAACTTGTCATAAATCTGTCATAAACATGATTACCATGAGGCCATTATAATGAATTTCACAACAGCATCAATGATGATTTTCTTGCTCCAAAATAGATTTGTTTTGTTATTAACACATATAATTAAATATAAAATATATTTAATTAAATATAATTAAATATAATTAAATATTATTGATGCTGTTATACAGTTATGTACGTGTCAGAATATTGGCACTTTAAATGAGAAATAGATTGACGAATTCAGTTTCTACAACTTGAAAACAGACAAGTCATGGAGGAAAAACTATCGCTCATCTTTTCATATAAGATAATCAGCGCTATATGAAGATTAGTGTCCAACATTGAAGATAAATCGCTCGCAGGCTACTTATATATTATCATGAGTTGCTTATCCTGTCACACCATAGGACTTTTTTTTATTTAATGTTTGACGTAAGCCCTGCTGCTTGTGTTGTTCTCAGCTTCTGAAGGCTGGTCCTCTGAAAGACCCTCTGCTGGACGATCACGCAGACTTCAACCGCATGTCAGTGGCCATGAAGAAGATCGGTCTGGATGACACAGAGAAGCTCAATCTGTTCCGGGTGGTGGCGGGGGTTTTACACCTCGGAAACATTGATTTCGAGGAGGCGGGAAGCACCTCAGGTAAACCGAGAGCTGGCAGCAGTCCTCAATCTGCAGCAGTTCTTAAACATTCACCGTTAACTATTGAAGTATGAGACAAGCTGAGTTCATTCATATCAGCACATTTCATAATCAATGCTAATTCAAAGTGCTTTAAGTAAACTAGAATAAAAGAAACATGAGAAATAGTTCAGTAACTGCACTGGTAAATCAGACATGTTTTACAATTAAAAACTATTTATAATACAAATTACAATTAATAAACAAGTAAAATACAAAAAAAAACCATAACAAAAAAGACTTTTAAAGCATTTAACGCCCAATAAATAAATAAGTAAATCATATATTGATATTTAAAAACTCAATAAATTGGCAAACGCGCATACAAGAAAGTAAATGAGTAAACATATAAATCAATAAAAAGTAAAACCTTAAATGCTGCGATGAAAAGCAGTCGTTGACTTTCATAAGTTTTGCTGTGGTTACGGCATCCGTCCACATTACGCCGGCGTTTTCGAGCACCGAAAACGGAGTGTTTTGGAAACGGAGGCCATTTTGATTCTGAATTGCTGCTGCTCCGTCTCAGTGTGGATGAGGGAAAACGGAGACATCTGAAAACGGAGGCGGGGCTGCTGAGATTCACTACCTGATTGGGGCTTTTGTGTCATTGCGTATCCTTCCCTTATTCGTCAAGCCCCTATCACATGACTATAACACATGGCTTTACCGCTACCGGAAGACAGCAGACCAGCCTTCACTGTAAACAACAACATGGGCACAGAAATGGCAGCGTTGTTTGCACTATTGTCTGTTTTAGGCGCCATTGTGCAGTTATTCATTTGTTACGTTTAGCAACTCGACCTCGTCGTCTGTCCACAAAAACACCTCTCTTGCTTTCTTCGCCATTGCGTTCATTGTTCAACCGGCGTTTGCTGACTAACAATAACCAAATGCCGAGCGAGACACATGCTTCCTGTTTATACTAGAGCGCGCATGCCCAGAGTGCACGAACGGTCACGTGATATACGTTTTTGGTGGCGTAGTGTGGACGGAGATATGTTCAGAAACGCTAGTGTGGACGCGGATCCTTTTTGATCTAAAACACCGTTTTCAAACTAAACTAAACGGGATCATAGATAGATAGATAGATAGATAGATAGATAGATAGATAGATAGATAGATAGATAGATAGATAGATAGATAGATAGATAGATAGATAGATAGATAGATAGATAGATAGATAGATAGATAGATAGACGGACAAATAGACAGACAAATAGAACTAACGGACAGATTTGATGAACAGAGGTATAGACATAACATTCAGACAGAAGGACAGAATGGATGCATGCATAGACAGACAAACAGATGGATATACCAGACAGATAAGACCGAAGGAAGGAATTGCTATTGCCAGTTCAACATTTGACAACATAAAGAGATTTGGCAAGGAAGCAAAGTAAAGCAAAAGCCAACGCATGCAAAGTTATGGAAATGATCTTTCAGGACTGGAGAAGTTTCCTGTTGACCTGTATATCGACTATCAGCCTCAAAACATAACAGGCTCTATTTTAACATTCTGAGTGCTAAAGAGTATGACACGGAAACACTAGGAGCATGTGTGAATCCATTTTTATTTTATTTTAAGGAGGGGAATAACAGTCTGAGAACCCAGCGCATGCTTTAACAGAGTTGTGCTGATTATAATAATGAGTTCTGGCTGTGTTTTGAGCATAACGTGCATTAAACCAATCAGAGTCTCGTCTCTCATTCTCTTTAAGAGTCAGTTGTGTCACTCCATGGCATATTCACTATTTACATGACGGATATCGTAAGCAGATAAACTGAACGCTTCACTAGCGAGAAAACGGTTGAAGAGCATCTTCAATATGAGCATCTTCCTTTCGACAGTGCATTCAGGAAACAGTGGCGGACGCTCTCTAGACATCCATTACATATTTAATTTCATAGATCCCGTCAAGTTTTTTCTTTATAGATCTTAACTTTTGCTTGGGAAGTAGCATACACACATTTTCACCCCTGTTTTGTGCGTACACCACGTTTATAAATAAAACCCCAGGTCTGATTAGTTGTTACTACAGTATGCAGAGATCTCCTTTGCATTTGGTGACGCTGCAGAATCTCTCTCTCACCTGTGCTGGTGTGTGTTTCAGGAGGCTGTGTGTTAAAGAAGACGTGCGGTCAGTCGCTGCAGTTCTGTGCGGAGCTGCTGGGTCTGGATGAGGAGGATCTGCGGGTCAGTCTGACCTCCAGAGTCATGCTCACCACTGCCGGCGGCACTAAAGGCACAGTCATCAAGTAAGAGACGCTCCTTAAGGGTTCCTTCACTCAAAGATGAAAATGATCCCAAATATTTCCTCATCCTCATGGCATCTTAAGCATCGGGACACAGAGTGTTTTTTTCTACAGGTGGTTTGTCAAGCCCACTCACCTGTGTGAGGCACACTTTCTATGAGTCTGAATCAGAGTTGTTGTGTGTGTGTGTGTGTGTGCGCAGGGTTCCTCTGAAGGTGGAGCAGGCCAGCAGTGCCCGGGACGCCCTGGCTAAAGCCATCTACAGCCGGCTCTTTGATCATGTGGTCACCAGGATCAACCAGTGCTTCCCCTTCGACTCGTCTGCGCACTTTATTGGTGTTCTGGACATCGCAGGCTTCGGTACGAGACCTTTAATTTTTCAAAAACCTTTTTTTCAAAACCTTGATTGGGTTAGCAGGGTGCAGAGTATGATATATATTTAAAAACCAAAACACGACAAAATATGTACAGCTGAAGTCAGAATTATTAGACCCCCTGTATATTTTTCTCCAATTTCTGTTCAATGGAAAGATAAACATTTCTAGTCATAATATTGTTAATAACTCATCTCTACTAACTGATTTAGTTTCTCTTTGTCATGATGACAGCACATAACATTAGACTAGATATTCTTCAAGACACTGGTGTTCAGCTTAAAGTGACATGTAAAGGCTTCACTAGGGTAATTAGGGTAAAGTTAGGGTAATTAGGCAAGTCATTGTATAACAGTGGTTTGTTCTGGAGACAATCCAACACTAATATTGCTGAAGAGGCGAATAATATTGACCATAAAATAGCTTTAAAACAATTAAAAACTGCTTTTATTTAAGCCGAAATAACTTTATTCTATTTGTTTGTCCAGAAGAACAAATATTATTTGTGAAAAGGTTCCTGAATCTGTTCAACATCATTTGGGAAATAATTCACTAAGAATCACAGGAGGGCGAATAATTCTGACTTCAACTGTACATTAGATTAGTCAGTACTGAAGCCAAATCTGAAGCTAATCTGACAATATACGATAACAATAACAGCCTAAAAAGAGAAAATGATGAAGAAAAAATGTTAAAAAGAGCACAAATCAATCTAAAATATAGTTGACATTTGTAACCGTTAATCCAAATACAGTTTTCTTTTTCCTCGTCATGAAGCCTAAACACAAGCAAACCAACAAACAGCAAACAAGCTCTGATAGTAAGAGTGGTCGAGCTCAAGCACAGCAAATGAGAATAAGGGGCGGGGCATGTCAGACAATAGAGAGCGCTTGATTTGTCAGTAGATTTGATGAGAAACTGAAGTATGAGGTGGAAAAATGTATTCGTTTATGAGGAAGCGACAAACTGCCACTGCTTTAGAGCACACTAGCTTATAGATATCCTCAAGACATTTTCATTTCACAAGGACTTAAACTAAAATGTACAAAATTAACTTGTAGTCAAGCATCACTTTAATGCCAGTTTTTCTGATTCCTTCAGCCTGCTAGTGGCTGCTGCTAGTTATCTTAAAAGCTAACCAACTGAACCCCTGCTAACACTAATTTGTCTTTTGCTTTTTCCTCCTCAGAGTACTTTGAGCACAACAGTTTCGAGCAGTTCTGCATCAACTACTGTAATGAGAAACTCCAGCAGTTCTTTAATGAGCGCATTCTCAAGGAGGTGAGACGTTCATCAGTGCTCAAATCTCCGCAGATTAACCTCAAAACTGCATTTTGATTTAATAAAACACTTAAAAAATCATCACATGTTTTATAAAAACATACAAAATTAATAGATTGGGCTGAATGATTTGTGGGAAATATCTAATTGCGTTTTTTTTTCTGACAGATTTTTATTTGATTTGCGAATATTCAATATATTTGTATATTTTGCTTTTTACGTCAGACGATTGTTCCAATTTAAAATATATTTTCATAAATAAGTAGATAATAGTAATACTCCTAATATAAGACTGGATCAAATCATGATTTCGATGAATGGCTCTGGCCTAGATTATCACAAAGTTTGTAATCACAATTGTAATTCGGTTTCCATTAATGCTTCAGCCCTAAATTATTGCAATGTTTCACATCATTATTTTTAATAATAGTTCAGTCCTAGATTATCGAAATGTTTCGAATCACGATTTCGATTAATGGTTCAGTCCTAGATTATCGAAATGTTTCGAATCAAAATATCTATTAATGGTTCAGTCCTAGATTATCGAAATGTTTCGAATCACGATTTCGATTAATGGTTCAGTCCTAGATTATCGAAATGTTTCGAATCAAAATATCTATTAATGGTTCAGTCCTAGATTATCGAAATGTTTCGAATCACAATATCTATTAATGGTTCAGTCCTAGATTATCGAAATGTTTCGAATCACAATTTCAATTAATGGTTCAGTCCTAGATTATCGAAATGTTTCGAATCACAATTTCAATTAATGGTTCAGTCCTAGATTATCGGAATTTTTCGAGTCACAATTTCGATTAATGGTTCAGCCCTAGATTATCGGAATTTTTCGAGTCACAATTTCGATTAATGGTTCAGCCCTAGATTATCGAAATGTTTCGAGTCACGATTTCGATTAATGGCTCAGTCCTATATTATTGAAATGTTTCGAATCACAATATCTATTAATGGTTCAGTCCTAGATTATCGAAATGTTTCGAGTCACGATTTCGATTAATGGTTCAGTCCTAGATTATCGAAATGTTTCGAATCACAATATCTATTAATGGTTCAGTCCTAGATTATCGAAATGTTTCGAATTACGATTTCGATTAATGGTTCAGTCCTAGATTATCAAAATGTTTCCAATTATGATTTCGATTAATGGTTCAGTCCTAGATTATCAAAATGTTTCCAATTATGATTTCGATTAATGGTTCAGTCCTAGATTATCAAAATGTTTCCAATTATGATTTTGATTAATGGTTCAGTCCTAGATTATCAAAATGTTTCCAATTATGATTTCGATTAATGGTTTAGCCCTAGATTATCCCAATGTTGTGAATCACGATATCTATTAATGGATTAGTTCTAGATTATTGCAATGTTTCAAATCATGATTTCCATTATTGGTTCAGCCCTAGATTATTCCATTAATGGTTCAGCTCTAGATTATCGCAGTGTTTCGAATCATGATTTCAATTAATGGTTCAACTCTAGATTATCGCAATGTTTTAAATCAATTTTCAGCTCTACACTGAATCAAAATGAGCTATTATATGTGATGCACTGGTCTGATACTCTGGCTTTTGTTGTGTACGTTTAACAGGAGCAGGAACTGTATCAGAAAGAAGGCCTGGGAGTCAATGAAGTGCACTACGTTGATAATCAGGACTGTATAGGTCTGTATCTCAGATAAAACTCTGACTTGATTGAGCTGTTGAAATGATATCTGTATTATATCTACCCCTTTTATCTTCTTTGGTTCAGACTTGGTGGAGTCGAAGGTAGTAGGCATCTTGGACATCCTGGATGAAGAAAACCGACTACCTCAACCCAGCGACCAGCACTTTACTGAAACCGTCCACAGCAAACACAAGGACCATTTCCGGCTGACTGTGAGTCTCGCTTCATTTCAGCTCGTTTTGCTGTAGTTTAGGGGCTTCGGATTTAATTAATTATTAATTAACTATATTTTAGTATAATTTTGTTCTGTGCTGGGTTGCGGCTTGAAGGGGATCCGCTGCTTAAAACATATACTGGAATAGTTGGCGGTTCATTCCACTGTGGCGACTTCTTAAATGGAGACTAAGCCGAAGGAAAACGAATGAATGAATGTGTTAGGGGTATTTTGAAGTGTCCGCTATATCAATATTGTGCATGTTCATTATCACGATATGTTAAATCATGTCTACTAATGTCTCACAGGTTCCCAGAAAGTCTAAGCTGCAGGTGCACAGGAACGTCCGAGACGACGAGGGCTTCATCATAAGACACTTCGCTGGAGCAGTCTGCTATGAAACGGTACACACACACGCACACATTACAGGTCAAAGGTCACCAGGTGAGTGTGATTTCACCAAGTAGGACATGTTTCTGGATCCGCATCTGTTTAACATTCCAATCAGCCAATCAGATTAAAGGAATGCATTTACAATTTATGTTAAAGGGGGAATATTATGCACTTTTATAAAGGGTTTAAACACACTTGTGTGAATATATCCAGCCTATAATGGTGAACATGAACCATTTGTATTGTTCATAATCAGACTAGACAGAATCAGTCTGCAGAAACACTGTGATGGACATTCTCCCTTTGTACGTGTCAGCAGAGGGGGAAAGCTCCGCCCACTAGTGACCATCATTAGCATAGAGCGCCAGTTTCGTTTTTGAATCTGCCACTATGCTGACACACAGGCATCTGTAGCTCCGCCCTCTTCTGAAAAAGAGCACAATCTCATTTGCATTTAAAGCGACAGTCACCAAAACACCACAATCAGGATCAAAGCCTAAAAGAGGAGTTTCAAAAATTATTTGTGGGGTATTAATAGTCAGTTTGAAGACTATTATGAGGTTTTTTATTGTTTTTATTTATAATAAAGAAGGTTAAGGATGGTAATTGGCTGTTGCATGCTTTATTTATGTACTTTGCAAATTTGGTACTATAAAACTGTACTCATTTCATTTCATAGATGGTGTCATTGGGCTCATTTTCAGTCAAATCTGCTGTTATGTAGTGATGTGATGGAGCGGGTTTTGTGGTCTCTCTTCCAGACTCAGTTTGTGGAGAAGAATAATGACGCTCTGCACATGTCTCTGGCGTGTTTGGTGAGCGAGTCCAAGGATAAGTTCATCGGCGAGCTCTTCGAGAACTCAAACCACTCCAAAGACACCAAGCAGAAGGCCGGCAAACTGAGCTTCATCAGCGTCGGCAACAAGTTCAAGGTCTGTCGCAGCAGTCGATAAGTAGAAGACGTAAACACAAATGTCAGCACATATCCAAACGTCCCAAGTGCCCCAAAATCTCCCCAGAGGTTTAACACGCTTGCACAATATAATATGTTTGTTTCCCTTCATAGACGCAGCTGAATATTCTTCTGGAGAAGCTGCACAGTACTGTACGTCATTTCGCTTGTTATTTACAGTATCAGCTGAATGTGTGTGTCCGCATGTGTATGTGTGTGTTGTTTTGACTGATATAGCTAATATTGATTGTGCTGCTGCTGTTTCAGGGCTCAAGTTTTGTCCGCTGTGTGAAGCCCAATCTGAAGATGGTCGGTCATCATTTTGAGGGCGCTCAGATTCTCTCCCAACTACAGTGCTCAGGTCAGCACACACGGCGTCACGTTACACAGAGCTGTCAGCGTCATCACACACATTTTTCTACGTCCTTGATTTTGCAGCTTGTGGCATGCTGGAAATCCACATGTGTCCACAATGATCTATTATGAGCAGAACTATTAATGACGATGAATAGACGAGAGAGTTATGATAGGGATGCAGTGTGTTGACCAATTATTATACTAGCTGAAGAACCCGCTGTACACAATCTTCTGCATACTTTAGGATAGTATAGAATAATAATAATAATATAATAATGAAACAATCATAAAATAAGAGACTCAATGTGGTGCGGTGGCGCAGTGGGAAGCATGTTTGCCTCACAGCAAGAAGAGTCCCGGCTGGGTCAGTTGACAATTCTGTGTGGAGTTTGCATGTTTCCTCCAGGTGCTCCGGTTTCCCCCACAAGTCCAAAGACATGCGCTATAGGGGAACTGGGTATGCAGTAATCCGTCCGTAGTGTAGATGGAAGGGCATCTGCTTCGTAAAGCATATGCTGGATTAGTTGGCGGTTCATTCCGCTGTGGCGACCCCGGATTAATAAAGGGAATGAATGAATGATTGAATTTAGACCAGGATTAGGCAGATGTTTTACATTTTGTTGTCTTTGTTAGTGTTCACTGTATGTACAGCACACCTCTGTTTTCTCCAAAATGAAAACAAAAAGGGTTCATACCTTGACCTTGACGTATCAAAGCCTGATGTATCGGTACGAGATACTCGGCTGCAAAAACAAAAAATCTATTAAAAGTAAAGTATTATTATTATTATTATTGTCACATCATGGGTTTTTCAGGTTTACAATCGAAGGTTGCAAATGATTTGATGCCAAGATGCAGACAATCAGTTCAGTGTGTTGATTGTGTGTGTGTGTGTGTGTGTGTGTGTTTGGTTCAGGGATGGTGTCTGTACTGGATCTGATGCAGGGTGGTTTCCCCTCACGAGCGCCTTTCCATGAGCTCTACAACATGTACAAACAGTACATGCCGGCTAAACTGACACGACTGGACCCCAGACTCTTCTGTAAGGTGTGTGTGTAAATACAGTACACCAGCAAGATGTCATATCATAGCATTCAGTAAAGTCATTTAACGTTTGTGTCTTTCCTCCTCCACAGGCGTTGTTCAAAGCTCTCGGGCTGAATGAAAACGATTATAAATTTGGCTTGACAAAAGTGTTCTTCAGACCTGGAAAGGTAATGTGACTCGAGTTTTATGGTTGTTTTTAATTTGCCGTTTTCAGTGGTGATATTGTGAAATTGATAGTCAATGCTTCAATGATTCTCTTAATTCGGAACTCGTGATGCACGCGATGTTGGTTGGTTTTGTTGTTGGTTATGTCTCACACACAAACGTTTTAGTTTGTTTAGCAATGGTAATGCTAGAAGTCAGTGTATTGCCGAAGGATGCATTCCTCTCAGATTGTCGGTTGGTTTGTATCGTGGTTCCTGTTATCATGGTTCTCAGTTTGATTCCGTTTACACTGTCAGAAATATACCTTGCCATAATTTCTCCTAGGGGTGTCACGATTTCGATTTTTAATCGAAATCGATCGAAATTTATGCTCAATTTCGATTATCGAATCAAAAAATAGAATCGTCGATGTTGCCACGCCCCCATGTCACGTCAGCTTGGCTTGCCAAGCAGGAAAATAACGGGCTTGTTGAAGTGCTTGTTAAACTGCAGAAGCAGGAGACCCGTCGACAGAGCTTAAACCCTCTCCTCTTTCAATGAAGTCGCCGGTGTGTAAGCATTTTGGATTTCCAGTGAGTTATGTTGACAACGTTCGTGTTGTCGACAAAAAAACACAGTTTTGCAAGCTCTGCTATGTACGTATTATGTACGGTTTGTCCGATAGGTTTGTCCCAGTTTACACTGTCTTTAATTTTAAATGGCATTTTAGAGCGACAACGATTAGACATCCACAGTGGCATGTGGCATTTCTGAGCAGCCCTCCTTCCTCTCTACCTCTGAAAATGCACGTCACGTGACCACACACACACAGACGCACACACAGCCATGCGCTCGAGACAGCAGGTCCAGGCAGTCAGAGGACTGCTTCAATCTTTCACTCACTTGTACTTAGTCATTTTAGCGAACACCTCAGATACTGTTGGCTGGTTCCTGTTGGTTGTGCGTCTTTTTTACCGACGCCATTATAACGACACAGATCACTGCCTATTCACGAGTCCCGCAGAAAAAGTGATTGACAGGTGGTAATTATGTGTGTATCTTACCTTTATTCATTTACTGTATGATTTGTTTATGGGTAAAACAAAAACCATGCAGGTCAGGTAGTTTAAACGGTAGGCTACAAATAATTAATTGGTCATTAATTAATTAATTATTCATAATCGAAAATCGAATCGAATCGAATCGTGACTTTAGAATCGAAAATGTAATCGAATCGAGGATTTGGAGGATCGTGACACCCTTAATTTCTCCACAGGTCTTGGATCGCATCAATAGCACTGCATAATCTCTAAAGGCCTTGGGATGATCCCCTGGTGGAAATAGAGAATAAAGGGAATGATTAGCGTAGCTACTGTTCATAGTGGATTTAATCAAGATGTAAATATGTTGTATATGAAGTGTTATAAATGAAAATAGCAGTTTTAAAAACAAACATGTAAAGCTTGTAAACGAAATACATTAATACTGTTATGTGAAGCACTGTGCTTTACTATAGAGATAGGTCTATAATCTAATTTTTTAACTTGGAGAGTGTGTCTGAGCCTTGGACATTATCAGGAAGGCTATTCCAGAGTTTAGGAGCCATAAATGAGAAGGCTTGACCTCCTTTAGTAGACTTTGCTATTCTAGGAACTACCAGAAGCCCTGAGTTTTAATGCCTTAAAGAGCGTGTTGGATTGTAGCAAGACAGAAGGTTGTGTAGATAAACAGGAGCTCGATTATTTACAGCTTTATAGGTAAGATGCAATATTTTAAATTCAATACGAAACTGAACAGGCAGCCAGTGTAAGGAGGAGAACATTGGGCTGATATGATCATATTTTCTATATTGGTAAGAACTCTGGCTGCTGCATTCTGAAGTTTATCAATAGAAGATGCTGGGCAGCCAGTGAACGGAGCATTACAGTAATCCAGCCTAGAGCTCATAACAGCATGGACTAGCTGACATCTGATGTGTTGACTTCACCGTGGCTGTTTTCCTGTTGTGTCAGTTTGCAGAGTTTGATCAGATCATGAAGTCAGACCCGGATCATCTGGCTGAGCTGGTGAAGCGTGTGAATAAATGGCTGATCTGCAGCCGCTGGAAGAAGGTTCAGTGGTGCGCGCTGTCCGTCATCAAATGTACGTAACTAACCAGCGCCTGCACTTTGATTATGACCTGAAGTTGATGAACTTCTGCAAAAAAAAAGTCTCTAATGTATTACTCTCTGTTCTCGCTCTCCCAGTGAAAAACAAGATGCTGTACCGAGCGCAAGCCTGTGTCCAGATGCAGAAGACTGTTCGCATGTGGCTCTGCAGGAGGAAACACAAACCACGGTGAGCTGCACTTCCTGTTCTCCTCACTGTCACTTACCAACGGAGGAGAGCAGCCGTCACTTACTACTTTATATATACAGTTGAAGTCAGAATTATTAGCGCCCCTGTATTATTAGCACCCCTGTTTATTTTATTCCCCAATTTCTGTTTAACGGAGGGAAGATTGTTTCAGCACATTTCTAATCATAATAGTTTTAAAAACCTATTTCTAATAACTGATTTATTTTCTCTTTGTCATGATGACAGTAAATAATATTTTACTTGATATTTTTCAAGACACTAGTATTCAGCTTACAGTGACATGTAAAGGCTTCACTAGGGTAATTAGGGTAACTAGGCAGGTTTGGGTAATTAGGCAAGTTATTGTATAACGATAGTTTGTTCTGTAGACTATTGAAAAAAAAAAATTTCTTAAAGAAGCTAAAAATTTTGTCCCAAAAAAGGCTTTAAAAAAATTTTTAAACTGCTTTTATTCTAGCCGAAATAAAACAAATAAGACTTTCTCCAGAAGAAAAAATATTGTCAGACATACTGTTAAAATTTCCTTGCTCTGTTAAACATTATTTGGGAAATATTTAAAAAAGGAAAAATAATCAAAAGGGGGCAAATAATTCTGACTTCATCTGTATGTGTTTACAGTCATACCTACATGAAAAAGTCCTATAGTAATTTATAGTGCCATGTGCTGCGTCTCTACATACATACATTTGTCAATATCACATGAGGCATCTGCGTCTCTTCACTTTCATTCATGAGTTCTCTCTAATGACCTTATAGGACAGTAAAGTGTCGATTGGATGCACACTTCAAAAAACAGCCGGGAGTAGTTCGTCATCCTGGTACTTGTCACCTACTGTTTTTTCTAATACTATATAGTAGCTGGAATGGGCCGGTATAAGATTTGGATTCGATTTTTTTTTTTTTTTTTTTTTTTTTTTTTTTTTTTTTTTTTTTTTTTTTATATGACTGACGAATGTTTCGTAGCCAGTGTGTCAATACGATTGACACAATGTGAGGTTGAATTTTTTTTACATGCGAAAATTCAGTGTGCAATGACCTTAAAGGGCCATGAAACCCCCTCGTTTCAGCAGGGTGTTTTCACACCTCTACTTTAAAAAAATTCAGAAAAGTGGGCGTGTCCAGCTTTGTTTAGGGGGGAGTGTCAGAGGAAGAACAGAGGCATGGTGTGGGAGTGTCTATTTGGGCGCCCTGAGTTTCAGAGTCAAAATACACACACACACACACACACATACACACACACACAGGGGACAAAGTGACTGTGTTTGCATGGACATCTGTAGTGGAATTATTTGCCAAATGATTAAATGTTGGACTTTAACTGCAGTTTGACTCTTTCATTCAGGGAATTCATTCATGTCCCTCGCGACAAACGAGATATTTGATTCGAGGAGCTGCTCTAAGCGTGTATTTTTCATGCAATGTTTGATACCGCACGGCGAATGAGAGAAAAAAAAACTCAGCATTTCCCGCAAACTTAGATGCACACGGCAGGTAGTGTCAGAAAGCCGTGTGTGTTATTCCGGTCACAAAATGCGGTGAAAATCCTACACGAGATTAAAGTTTGGTTGTAGTGCTAACATGTTTACACTCGGTGCAATAGTTAACTTAGTTCGATACGAACAAACTGAATAAACAAAGAGCACTGGTCGCTCACTTACCAAATCTGTAGAGACAGGACAATCACCAGCAACTAGAGCCGCGTCTTTATTAAGAGGAGACGAGCAGCGAATCTGGATCTCACCATTTGTAGAAAAGAAAAGCTCTCGGGTAAACAATGTTCCTCTGACACGTATTTCTGTCGCGTGTCGCATGCACTGTAATCCACACGTGAGTCCAGCTGCGCTCTCATAGCGGGGAAACAAAAACAAAACCTTCACTGCAGCAAACTATAAAAGCAACACTTCACGCCAACACAACGTGGCGTCTCTGTCGTCTAAACACTGTGACAGTAATGAATATTAATGAAGTTGCACAATAGAGCGCGCTGATTGGTTTGAACCAAGCCTTACTCATGCATTAATGCAGCACACTGTAAGACGTAATAAGACTCACTCTGGCACAGATGCTCAGTCTGCACGCTGGAATACACGCTATTATGTCATGACCGTGACGCAGCTTCAAAAATTCGTTTCAAACCGGAAGTACGAATTTGCTTGAAATAACGCAAAAACAACCAATTTACACTTTTTAGTGAAATATAGGTGTCCTAATAGTGTTTTTAGCAGTGTGGGACACATATACCACTGCCAACAGCTCAACACATGTGTTTTGGTGTTTCGTGACCCTTTAAGACATTTATTTTTGTAGTTTTAGACACTTTTCCCCTGTATAAAGAAAATGAGCAAACATATATTTCATAGTTTGTACCATCATAAAGTCACAGATATGCTTGAAATCGCAAGATTAGTTGGTAACTCTTTATTGTGATGCTCAATTTGAGTATTAGTCGACTGTCTGCTTAATATCTGCTGATACTGCTCCTTCAACAGGCGTTTAACTCACTATACAAGACACTTTGCAAGCACATGTCAACTTACACTAACCCTAACAGTCGACTGATAATCTAATGAGAATTAGTTGACAGGTAGATGCAATGTAACTTAAATTCGACAAACGGACCATTAAAATAAAGTGACCGAATAGTCTACTGGAAGTGACGTTTACAAGCATTAAATGTCCACTATTATGCCCCTTTTTTTATAAGATGTAAAGTAAGTCTCTGACGTCTCTACAGTGTGTGTGTTTCAGCTCAAAATACCACACAGATAATGTTCTCTAACTCTCTTAAACCGATCGTTGTTGGCTTTGATCCTGATTGTGTCGTTTTAGTGACTGTCACTTTAAATTCTAATGAGATTGTGCTCTTTTCAGAAGAGGGCGGAGCTACAGATGCGTGTGTGTGTGCATAGTGGCAGATTCAAAACTTTAATGTTCGACGGCTGCTTCTCACTAAGGGCTGTTTATGCTAATGAGGGAGAGATGGGCACTAGTGGGTGGGGCTTTCCCCCTCTGATGACACGTACAAAGGGAGAATGTCAATCAAAGCGTTTCTGCAGACTGATTATATCAAGTCTGATTATAATAACATAGAATTAATAATTCTTTTCCATTAGAGGCTGGATATATTCACACACAGTTGCCACATGACTGTGTTTAAATGGGATTTTTTTTGTGATGGGTCTCCTTTAATGTATCTGTGTGTGTGTGTGTGTAGGATTGATGGGCTGGTGAAGGCGCAGAACCTAAAGAAGCGGATGGAGAAGCTGAATGAGGTGGTGTCTGGACTAAAGGAGGGCAAACAGGAGATGAGCAAACACATGCAGGATCTGGACTCTTCTATCGATGCTCACATACGCAAGATAAAGGTGCGTTTCAATTAGGATTCGATGAATAAGCTAAATGTCAACATATTGTCAATACCGACCCCTAGATATTTATGCGTGTCAACAACTTCGATGTCCAAGCCTTTAATATTTGTTATACTGGGGTTGTGGTTTTTAGTTAAGTATTATTTTCTACCAAAAGTTCTGTGTCTGTTTATGTTCTGTTATTATCATTCATGGCCTTGTTTTTAGTCAGAGTGTTGACTGTGTGTCACCGTTCTCTTCAGAGCATCGTGATGAGCCGGATGGACATCGACCATGAGCACCAGGCTCTGGTCACCCGCTCTCAGGAGCTGCTGAGCGCCATGCAGAAGAAGAAGCAGGAGGAGGAGGAGATGGAGAGACTCAAGCGCATCCAGGAGGAGATGGAGAAAGAGAGGAAGAGGCGCGAGGAGGAGGAGCAGAAGCGCAAGCGGGAGGAAGAGGAGAGACGACAGTCAGTGTTCACAGCGCTCGACATTCATTCACCTTCAGCACAACTGTTTCCTTGCCTAAATTCACTAGATAAGAGGTTCATTTATAGAGATCTGGCCGTATAGTCGGGGGAACTATAGTTTGAATCAATTTAATTTCTTCGCATGACACATTAGAGAAGTGTTTCTCAACCACGTTCCTGGAGGAGCACCAGCACTGCATGTTTTGGATGTCTCCTTTCTCTGTCACACCCATACAGCTCCTTCAGTCTCTGCTAATGAGCTGATGATCTGAGTCAGCTGTGTTTCGGTAGACATGGATAATGTGGAGAGCTGGTGCTCCTCCAGGGACGTGGTTAAGAAGCACTGCACTAAACTATGCACTAAATACCTAGAGATTTTTGAAGTCGACTTTTATGTGATTAAGCTCAGCGTCCACTATTGGTGATGTTATCAATAAAGCTATTTAATAAAAAGATGTTTTGTAACATGCAGCAATTGATTAAAAATATGTATTCATATATGTTTACAGGGCAGAGCATTGAATAAGGCAGGGGTGTCAAACTCAATTCCTGGAGGGCCGAAGCCCTGCACAGTTTAGTTCCTACCTTGCTCCAACACACTTACCTGTAGGTTTCAAACAAGCCTGAAGGACTCAATTAGTTTGATCAGGTGTGTTTAAATAGGGTTGGAACTAAACTGTGCAGAGCTGCGGCCCTCCAGGAACTGAGTTTGACACCTGTGGAATAAGGGGTTGCTTTAAACCAGGGATGTCCAAACTTGGTCCTGGAGGGCCGGTATCCTCCTGAGTTTAGCTCCAACTTGCCTCAACACACCTGCCAGGAAGTTTCTAGTATATCTAGTAAGAGCTTGATCAGCTGCGTAAGGTGTGTTTGATTAGGGTTGGAGCTAAACTTTCCAGGACAGCGGACCTCCAGGACTGAGTGTGGACACCCCTGCATTAAAGTCTATGCTACCGCTCATACAGTATCAGGGGTTCTCAATCTTGGTTTTGGAGGGCCGGTGTCCTGCTGATTTTAGCTCCAACCCCAATCAGACACACCTGGGCTAGCTGATCAAGCTCTTACTAGGCTTTCTAGAAACATCCTTGCAGGTGTGTTGAGGCAAGTTTGAGCTAAACGTCCAGGACTGAGTTTGAGAACCTCTGCCTTGTAGAAACCCTGTCATCAGTTTCCTGAACAGAAGCATTATAGTGACTGAAGCCTTGTGTATTTCTGATCTAGATCTTATTGCAAACTCTTCATCCGTGTGTGTATTTTATTTATTCTCGTTACGTTTGGTTCGACCTTGTAGTTGATCATCAGAATTTCTTCATGCAGTTCTACTTCTGTTTGTTGTAGGAAAGCCGAGATGGAGTTGAAGAGGAAGCAGGAGGAAGAAGAACGCAAGAAAAGAGAGGAGGAAGAGAGGAAGCTGCAGGTGACTTGGTTCTTCTGCTTTTCTTCCGTCTTAGCCACAGTGAACTTTTTGGTTTGGGCTTTTGTTCTCATGACCAGAGCTACTGCTGCCACGTCTTGGTGGTGCTCATGGTTTTTTAACGCAACTGATAGAGAGCTTCAGGAATGATGTCTTTATAGGCCCGTGCTTCAGTTAAAACCATTAACTTCACCAACACTGAGGGTGCTTTCACACCTGCCTTATTTATAAGTTCGATTGAATCGCACTAGAGTTTGTTTCCCCTGTTGGTGCGGTTCGTTTGGGCAGGTGAGAATGCAGCAATCGTACTCGAGTGCGCACCAAAAGCGAACCAAATAAGCGTACCGAGACCTGCTTGAAGAGGTGCTCTCGGTACGCTTTCAAACGAACCCTGGAGCGGTTCGTTTGTGGGGAGAATATGATCCGTACTAAAACAGGTCCAACCGCAAAAAGTTCTGCGCGTTTTGGACCAACTCAGCTGCTGTAGGCCGATGCGCTGTGCATTATGGGATATGGAGGAAAAATATTTGTTGACAGCGCTTTACCAACAGAGAGAGAGAGAGAGAGAGAGGGGAAAACATTACCTGATGGATCGTTGGTAATATTTCCGCAAGATGAGCATGTCGCAGTTTAGCTAAATTAATTCACGTCTCCTCCTGAAGTGACGAGCGATGCATTAAACACTGTTTTCCAGCCGCGGCCGCGCTTCATTTTCGTAATGTATAGTTTGCCTAAAGCAGGGATACAATCAGCCAGCGCAGTCGTCCCTCCAGAGTAAAAGGTTTTGTTTACCTGCGGGAGTTCACTGGCATTTCCCGCACGTGAATTCTGACCAATCAATAAGCAGTTTAGGAAACATGTTCAACAACATCTGGCCAATGAGAGATGTGGATTTTGTCAGATGACTGCATTTTGGTTCATTTCAACTGGTTGGGACTAAAGCCAGCAGTGTGGTGTGAAAACGACCCAAAGACGGCAGAAGATGCAACAATGCATCATTTATTACCCTTGATCAAGACCAAATGAAGCGAACTACAGATGTGAACGCACCCTAAGGATTGTTCACCAAAACTAAACTCTGCAACCAATGAAAGTTCAATTTTTATTTATTTTTTTGTTTACATTATGTTCATGATGGCAAAATGGTAGCCAAAAGCAGTGCCAGACACTATCTTTTTTTGCTTTATTCTGTGTGTATTCATGCAGAATGGTTTTGAGAATATAGTAATCAGTGCTTCTCACAGGTTTGAAATACACCTGCGCAGGTAGCTGATCTAAACATATATTTTACCCACAGAACATGGTTACCTTCCTGCAACAAAAAAGTGATTTTTAACAATATTTTTATTTATTATACACTTAATATATTTATCATTATTTAAATTTTTTTTAAAGACTGTTGAAATACAGAAAGAAATCCACTATTTGTTTTACTTTTACTCCATTCAGGAGCCATGTGCACCCACTGACAGGTAAAATCTGCTGCTGACACTGCCAAAGCGTGTTCGATATGTATGAACTATGTGATATATCAACATCATCTGCTCTCCGTTAAACAGAAAATGGGGAAAACAATATACAGGGGTTAATAATTCTGCCTTGTATGTGTACATGTCATTTTGTAAACTGATTCCCACAGGGTTTGTATTCTGAATTCTTGTGAATCCAAATAAAAGCATAAATGTGTGTGTGTGTGTGTGTGTGTGTGTGTGTGTGTGTTCAGGAGGAGATGGAGCTGCAGCTGGAGGCGGAGCGGGAGCAGGAAACGTCCCGTCAGGCGGTGCTGGAGCAGGAGCGGCGTGACCGAGAGCTGGCCCTGCGCATCGCTCAGAGTGAAGCCGAGCTCATCCCGGAGGAGACGCCGCCGGACGCTGGACTGCGCAGGTACCAAACACAATATACACATGGTGGTACGTTTAAAATAAGCCACAAGATCAAACTAAAACTCCTCTTAAAAGCTTTTAATCCTTGTTTTGAGGCGGGAACGTTCTTCTGAAGAGTTAATGGTGGTGGGATAGTCTTGTTGAATTACAGCAGACGTGGTATTATTAGTTACTCCATACTGCAAAAATAAATAGCTTTTTTCACTTAGAGTGTGTGACTTGTTTCTAGTGCAAATATCTACACATTTACAGAAATCCAGAAGTATTTTCTTAACAAGCTAAAAGTATTGTGTTGATTTCAGAAATAATGAGTCAAAATGAAGTGAGTTTTCCCCTTTAAAACAAGCTAAATACTCTTGTTTTCACTTTTGAATTACAATTATTTGGATTGTTCACTTCATTTTGACTCATTATTTCTGAAAACATCACAATGTTTTGTGCTTGTCTAGAAAATGCGTCTTGATTGAAGAGTTTTTAGGTTATTTGGACTAGAAACGAGTGAAAGCTGGAAGTCAGAACAGCGTTAGTTGCAGTGTTCAGACTTTATGTAATGCTCTTCATGTTTGTTTTTACAGTGTTGCTCCACCACAAAAGCTCAAGAGCTTGACCATGTAGGTTGCAGTTTTCTCCTGTCTTTATCTTCATTGTTTTCTTCTGATTACCAGAGTAATTTTCTGATATTTGTTTACCCCTTGTGTGCTGTTGCGGATGTTTTCATCCACTCTGGGTTGATTTTGAGTCCTAATTAGGCCACAACTTTCTGTGTTTCAGCAAATGGACTGATTTAGTCATTCATTCATTTTCCTTTCGGCTTAGTCCCTTTATTAATCTGGGGCCGCCACAGTGGAATGAATCGCCAACTTATGTTTTACGCAGCGGATGCTCTTCCCACTGCAACCCATCACTGGGAAACATCCACACACTCTCATTCGCACTCATACACTATGGACAATTTAGCCTACCCAATTTACCTATACCACATAATTTTGGACTTGTGGGGGAAACGGAAGCACCCGGAAGAAACCAACACGGGGAGAACATGCAAACTCCACACAGAAATGCCAACTGACCCAGCCGAGGCTCGAATCAGCAACCTTCTTGCTGTGAGGCGATTGTGCTACCCACTGCGCCACCGTGCTGCTGGAATGATTTATGGTGACATCTTATTTTGGGAAAATGCTTTAAATGTTTTTAAAAACTCAACAATACACTCTGAGCAGATTGACTCCCCTTTCATTATGTTGGGGGCTGTTTTTACCCCATTCACTTTCATTATAATGATCATTATTATGATAAAAATGACACATTTGACCTCTTCCCAAAAGGGAAAACCCCTGCAACAATCAGAAATGCATGGTGTCAAGGCTTTGCAATCAAAACAATTGATTATAACACAAGTCATTGGGGCAAAAACAGCCCCTAACATAATCAAAGGGGAGTCAATTTGAGCAATACACAAGGGATAAACAGTAAGCCTTCAATTTAAATCTAAACTTCAATTTAATTGTTTAAAATGGATCCCAGTGGAGATCTTGATGAAAAGAGGAATAAATATTTTGCCTTTTCCAGTTGTCAGCAAATACTAACATGTGTACGGTGCAATAATCATGTCCTTTAGGGAGGAAATGGCCAAGGAAATGTCTGATCTTCTGGCTCGGTGGGTTGAAGGGTTTGTGTTTTATAACCCAAAATCAAACATTTCCCAATGAATAAAATGACTTTAAGGACATCTCAGTTCTATAATCAGATGAGTCTGGATTCGCTTAAAGGGATGGTTCTGAGTTTTCAGTTTTGGGTGAACTGTCCCTTTAAGAGTCTTTCTCTGTGAATGAATCTTTTGTTTGATTTGCTGTCCTTTCCTCTTTCTATTCGTCTGAAACTGGTTTTCCTGCTATAATTGTTGCTGTCGCTGTTTAAACTCTTCTTTCCTCTGATAGCGTGATCTGCACATTTCTGGAGTGAAAATATTATTTGAAGTAATCTGATGTGTTGATGTAAAATGATGGATTTGACTCAGATATGCAGTTGAAGAGTAAATTATTCGCCCTGCTGTCAAATTTTACTTCTTTTTTGAATATTTACCAAATGCTCTTTTTTTAAACAAATTTTTAAACATAAAATATTTAATAACTAATTTCTAATAACCTATTGCTTTTGTCATGCCGTGATGGCAGTATATGGTTTTATTAGTTATTTATTATTTTTATTATTATTATTATTACTACTACTACTACGAGCTATAAATATGATTTAATTTTAATTAAATTCAATTTTAATTTATTATTAATTTACTAGTTTTTTTTATTTATTTAGTTTTATTTTATATAATTGAATGTATTATTCCAGCCAGACATGACATTATATAATATTTTATTTGTTATTTATTTATTTGTTTTATTATTATTATTATTATTATTATTATTATTATTATTATTATCATGATCATTATTGATATTATTCCTAGTAATTTTTATTATTTATTTTTAATTACATAAAAACAATTATTTAATTAAATTTTAATAGATTTTTTTATTTTAATTTATTTTAAATAATTTTATTTGATATAATTTAATTTAAATTATTATTTTAGCCAAGCATGACAGTATTTACTTTTTTATTAGTTATTTATTATTATTTTTATTATTATTAGTATTATCAGTTATATTTATTTTAATTTTATTTATTTTATTTTCTTTTATATATAATAATTTAATTTATTATTTCAACCAAACATGAAAGTATAAAATATATTTATTTATAAGTTATTTATTATTGTTGTTATTATTATTATTATTATTATTATTATTATTATTATTATTATTATTACTAGTTATATTTATTTTAATAATATTTTTTATTTTATTTATCATAATTTAATTTATTATTTTAATCAAACATGACAGTATAAAATATATTTATTTATTAGTTATTTATTATTATTATTATTGTTATTATTATTATTATTCATGATTATTATAATTATTATTACTAGTTATAAATATTATTTATTTATTTTAATTTTATTTATTTCAATCAAATTTATTTAATTGTTTTTTTATTTTAATAAAAGTTTTAATAAAATTTAAATTTAATTTATTTTATTTTAACTAATTTAATACATTTAATTTAATTCAAATTTTTAGCCGAACTAAAAGAAATAAGGCTTCTCCAGAATAAAAATACTGTAAAAAAAAAAAATACTGTGAAAAATGTCTTTGCGCCATTAATCATCACTTTCAAATTCAAATTTCACAGGACAGCTAATAATTGTGTCTTCACCTGCACTTTATATTCTTTCATAAGTTTTAATCATCTTTTTATATTTAAGCTTCATGCTTGTCTGTACTTTAAGCAGATCCTATTTTAAAGCTGCAGTCTGAAAGGTTTTGAGGTTTTGTTCGAGTATAAATAAATACTTAAACAAGAATATAACCAGCCTGTATCTACTTACATTAGCCGATTCTCAACATAAAGATAATGATGTTTTCTGATTTGAGTGGAACTGGTAGGTTTTCCCTTTTAGTTTTTCCATCATTTTGTAACATCTCCGTACATCCAGAAGTCTCCAGCTAGCTATAACATCACATTTGAGACAAATAATGTGACGGACTGCAGCTTTAAAGTGAAGGAAGCCAAACACTCTGCTCTTGTGAGACGGCTAAAATCAGCAGCAAAGCATATCTACATTGTTCCTTTATTTGGTGTCGTGTGTTGTTTGTATGCATTCAGAGGTCCACAGGTCTCCGCCAACAATGCTCAAGCTGATGTCAAGAAATATGAACTCAGCAAGTGGAAATATGCCGAACTACGGGACGCCATCAATACATCCTGTGGTAAGAGAGACGGTTGGCCCTGTCATACACCTGACCTGACAAGTGTTTTTGCTATTTTCAGCATTTGCAGGCATTTGTGCGCTCACAACATTATTGTGATGATAGTGTTAGGGCTACACAATATATCCCAAAAGTATGGTCATCACAATGATAGTGTTAGGGCTGTTTTTTTTGATTGAATTAGAATTAATTAAATCGGAAAAAAGTATTTAACCAGTTTATTTTGAAAACATAGCTAATAAAAACTGCATTTTCTAGGGAAATGTGGTATTGTAAGAAATATCGTTATGGAGATACTCCACAACATCGCATATTTTTCCAGTATCGTCCAGCCCTAACAGGAAGTGAAGAAACATTTGGTTTTGGATGTGCCTTCTTGCCTTCGAATGGTGTTTAAAAAGGAGCATCTCATAGCTTTCAACGCAGCTGTACTTCAGAAACCTTTCTGTGCTGTATGGGTTTCTCTTTATTAGAGCTGAATTGTGTGTAATAATTGTGTTTTTTATTTGGCTGTTCATCTAGATATCGAGTTGTTGGCTGCGTGTCGAGAGGAGTTTCACCGCAGGCTGAAGGTTTATCACGCCTGGAAGTCAAAGAACAAGAAGCGCAACGTTCAGGAAGAGCAGAGAGCTCCCAAAGCCATCACTGACTATGGTGAGACACGTCTCCTTACACCACTACAGTGTTAGGTGTAGTTAATAATTAGATTTTCCGCTCAAAAATAGATCCTTGTGTGAAATAATGTACATTAATTCAACAGAGAAGCAAATAAGAGAATATTAAGACTATTTTTTGAGAAATTGGGTATAAATATGACCATATAAGGCATGTTTAGACAGATATTTTGCATAAAACTTTAACTAAAGTTTAATTTTCCTAACAAATGCACGTTTAGGAAAAAATGTAATGTTTGAAAAACGTGGCGATATATGGCATTCAGGAAATATAGTGTCATTCATTCTAAATGTTTTATATATTTTAAAAATAAAACTAAAAGGTCCTAAAGTAAGTAGAAAACTAATTAAAGTGCAATTTTTATGACGAGCAACCTGACACTGCTTCACATCTAGGGTTATGATGGCGATCAAGTGAGACAGTTTGGGCAGAAATCATTTTGTTGTGGCTTTTCTCTTCTGTAATAGTTGGCATAATTGGAAGCCAAGCTTTCATCGGTGAGTAAGGCCCGAATAACAAACCCACTGCTAATTAACTCCCCAAAACATTAATAAAGCCCCTGGTGAAGTACATAGAGAAAGGAGCCAATAATTATCTCACATTCTTAACACACCTGCGTAACAGCCAATAGAAAACCAGCTATAAATGAGCTCTTCACTGTAAAACATTCTGCTTTCCCACTGCTTTTCCTAACTATTAGTGATGTTTACTTTGATGCTGCTGTTCATAACTCTGAAGTTGCTTGTTATGTTTATGAAGAATGTCCTTTCTGATCATCAAGGATGCATTTCTTTGGTCAAAAGTGCAGTAATACAGTAATATTGTGATTATGCATTATTTAGGTTTTCATGAATTTATTCCTGTTAATTAAAGCTGAGTTTTTAGCATCATTGATCCAGTCTTTAGCTAGAATTGTTTAAAGACATAGAAATGTTTATAGACATTAGAAATATGTTTATAGACATTATAGAATTGTTTAAGGACATTATAGAAATGTTTATAGACATTATAGAAATGTTTATAGACATTATAGAAATGTGTTTATAGACATTATATAATTGTTTATTGACATTATAGAAATGTGTTTATAGACATTATAGAAATGTTTATTGACAATATAGAATTGTTTATTGACAATATAGAAATGTGTTTATAGACATTATAGAATTGTTTATTGACATTATAGAAATGTGTTTATAGACATTATAGAATTGTTTATTGACATTATAGAAATGTGTTTATAGACATTATAGAAATGTTTATAGACATTATAGAAATGTGTTTATAGACATTATATAATTGTTTATTGACATTATAGAAATGTGTTTATAGACATTATAGAAATGTTTATTGACAATATAGAATTGTTTATTGACAATATAGAAATGTGTTTATAGACATTATAGAATTGTTTATTGACATTATAGAAATGTGTTTATAGACATTATAGAATTGTTTATTGACATTATAGAAATGTGTTTATAGACATTATAGAATTGTTTAGGGACATTATAGAATTGTTTAAAGACAGAAATGTTTATAGACATTAGAAATATGTTTATAGACATTATAGAATTGTTTATAGACATTATAGAATTGTTTATTGACATTATAGAAATGTGTTTATAGACATTATAGAAGCCTGTCTATAGGTATTTAAGAAGTGTTTATAGAAAATATAGAAGCATGTCTATAGATATTATAGAAGCGTGTTTACAGACATTATAGAAGCCTGACTATAGATAATATAGAAGTGTATTTTATAGACTTTATAAAAATGTGTGTATACATTATAGAATTGCATTTATAGACATTATAGAAATGTAGTTATATACATTATAGAAATGTGTTTACAGACAGAAATATGTTTGTAGACAGAAATGTTTATATAGACATTATAGAAGCATGGTTATAGACAGAAGTGTTTATATACATTATAGAAATGTGTTTGTAGATATTATAGAAGTGTGGTTATAGACATAGGATGTGTTTATAGATACTATAAAAATGTTTATAGACAGAATTGTGTGAATATACATTTTAGAATTGTGTTTGTAGACATTATAGAAGCCTGTTTTATAGACTTTATAGAGGTGTTTATAGACATTATAGAGGTGTTTAGACATTATAGAAGCCTGTTTTATAGACATTATAGAGGTGTTTAGACATTATAGAAGCCTGTTTTATAGACATTATAGAGGTGTTTATAGACATTATAGAGGTGTTTATAGACATTATAGTGGTGTTTAGACATTATAGAAGCCTGTTTTATAGACATTATAGAGGTGTTTATAGACATTATAGAGGTGTTTAGACATTATAGAAGCCTGTTTATAGACATTATAGAGGTGTTTATAGACATTATAGAGGTGTTTATACATTATAGAAGCCTGTTTATAGACATTATAGAGGTGTTTATACACATTATAGAGGTTGTTAGACATTATAGAGGTGTTTAGACATTATAGAAGCCTGTTTATAGACATTATAGTGGTGTTTATAGATATTACATGTTTAATTATAGACATTATAGAAATGTCTGTATATACATTATAGAATTGTGTTTATAGACATGATAGAAAGTGCTTGACTCTGCTGTTGATGAATGAGCATGAGCCCTGTCGAACAGTGTTCAGTAAAGCCTTGTGTTTGCTCGTCCTGCAGCCCAGCAGAACCCGGTGGTGCCGGCTGCAGTGCCCCGTCAGCATGAGATCGTCATGAACCGACAGCAGCGCTTCTTCCGCATCCCCTTCATCCGGCCCGGAGACCAGTACAAAGACCCTCAGAGCAAGAAGAAGGGCTGGTGGTACGCGCACTTCGATGGGCCGTGGATTGCCCGACAGATGGAGCTGCACCCTGACAAACACCCCATTCTGCTGGTGGCAGGTCTGCGTCATCTTCAAAGCCTTTCTTACTCAGCATAAGTCATAGTTGGTAAAGGTAGAGCGCAGTGCATGCAGAGTAGCACACACACATCTTATGCATTCCTGTTTATAGAGGAAATATAGAAATAGCACACACACACACTTCATCAGATAACTGTGTGTAAAATGGAGGTTCTGTGAGGCTGAATCTGCATCACTCTGAGAAACACACTCACTGATATCTCGTCCCTTGTGTGTGTGTGTGTGTGTGTGTGTGTGTGTGTGTGTGCAGGTAAAGATGATATGGAGATGTGTGAGTTGAGTCTGGAGGAGACGGGTCTGACCCGGAAGCGAGGCGCTGAGATTCTGCCGCGTCAGTTTGAGGAGATCTGGGAGCGCTGCGGGGGAATCCAGTACCTGAGGAACGCCATCGAGAGCAGACAGGCCAGACCCACATACGCCACCGCCATGCTGCAGAGCATGCTCAAATAAACACACACACACACACTGAGAGAGATGCGCTCACAGAGACACACACACAGAGAGACACGCTCTTACATTCACAATCACACACACACAGTCTCACACACTTTCTTCCTCACAACAGACACACACATTCACAAAAACACACACACGCACTCTCTCATACACTTTCTCTCTCTCTCTCTCACACACACACACACTCTCTCTCTCAATCACAGACACATACACACACACATATACCCATACACTTTCACACACATACACAGACACAAATTTTCTCACATACACTCACTCACACACACCGACACGCTGTCTCACAGATACACACACACACATATGCTTACTCCCACACTCTTACACACACAAACACATGCATACAAACACACACACACTCACACCCACACTATATCTGTCACACATATGTACACGCACACACATGTACACACACACACACACACACACACTCTCTCACACATAGACACCCACACATCTCTGTCTCTCTCTCTCTCTCTCTCCCTCACACACACACACAGGGACACAAGTGAGTGTGTGTGTGAGAAGGGCCGTCTGCCAACCCAACAGAACCAGCATCACTTCAGTTCTTTTAACTCTTCATGCGTTTGCGTTTGTTTCTTTTATTTTTTAGCCTTTGGAGATTTGTGTGTGTGTGTGCGTGCGTGTGTGTGTGTGTGTTGATGAAGTGCTTCTTTTAGTTGCTGTCTGGTTTGTTTCTGTTTGTTTTCTGCATGTGTGGAGCGTTTAATCATCTCACAGATCATTAATGAGTGTGTGATCGTCTCTAAACTGCCTCTTAATCTCATTGACACACACACACACACACACACACACACACACACACACACTCATGTTTTTGCTATGATGAATGATGTTCCTGTAGAGAAGCGCGTGCGTGCGTGCGTGTGTGTGTGTGTGTGTGTGTGTGTGTTCTCCTAACACTGACTCCGTCTCCGCTCTCTGGCCTGCAGATGTAAATACTGATGTTGTTCAGCACTTTACACGTCCTCAGTTGAGTCGATGGCTGTGGGTTTGAGCCGCTTCACTACAGTAAACACAGTAATGACCACTAAATTATGACTTTTGAATGAAAAAAAACTCTTTAATAAAAAAAATAATGATTTTAATAATACACACGAGCCACTTGTGTGATCTTTGTGTTGTGGATGATGCAATTACAGCATGCAGGGAAAATATTAGCGCTGAAAAGCATTGAACTGCATCCAGAATAAGAGTTCACATTCACTAAATGTATTTGTGTGCTCTGTTTATATGTGTGTGTATTCAAATATATGCATTACAAATGATATATACATATATATGAGCAATTCCATGCAAATGTCAACCTTGCCATGAAAAAAAAAAAATCGTTTTCACCAAAATACAGAAACCATTTCTACATTTTTTGTGGAAGGAAGTATTTTACAGTACTTTAAAAATACTCTAAATGTCTCTGTCAGTGTTTCAAATTATTATATTTAATTTATTAAAATTACACAAGTGGCAATTTCACAGCTGTCACATCCATAACGGAAAAGTGTCACATCCATAACGACACTTTTTTCCTCATAAATGCAAAAATGTCAAATAAAATAAAATCAATCATTTTGGTTCTATATTGAGCCGACTCATATCTATTTGATTAGCATTGTTTCTTTTGGGTTGTGCAGTTGAATTCACAGAATTTCTACAAAGTATGTGGTATACTATATTTGCAACCTTTTTTAGTCACATCCATAACGCATGCTTGTTTTCCTCATTTAAAATATAAAAAAAGTTTACAGATTGATATTTTTCATAACTCTGTGGTTATTTGTTTTGGAAAATATAAACAGATGTTTTAATATAATGCTAACATAGACTTTCTATGTGAATTTATGTCTTGAGTTTTTACTGCAAATGTCACATCCATAACGCTGGAATTGCTCATATGTAGATCTACTTGTATATTTTTATGTACAGATCTGTGTGTATTTACTTAAATATACACAGTATGCATGTATTTAAATGCAGACTTTAACTTTGATGCGATTCCTTGATAGATATATAACAGATATAGTGATATAAACAATTAAATGTTATATATATTTCAGCAAGCCGTTGGTAACTTCATCTGTATTCGCGTTTGTCAGGTCTGTCCAGGATTATCACTACATCTCTCAAAGCTCTAGATTAACGTTTCTCTTTTAAATTTTAGGAATTTCGTTCAATATTTTATTTACAAAATAAATAAATAAAACTATACAGAATAAAAGGGACAGTTTTCACATACACAAGTACAGTGCATCTGACAGAATCTGCTGCCCTTTAACACTCGCTAAAAACAAAACAACGATAAAAATCTCTATTCATGTACAAGCTTCAAATGATTACACAAACAAACACGTTTATTTTCCACTCTATGAGGACTTTTATACGGTGCGAGACGTTTCGTGCACTGATGCTCAAACAGAGGAATAATTGCCTCATTGTGAGGAAACCCTGAATCATGTCTGCCATCTGAAAACCTTCTAGCTGTGCTGCGTTTCTTTACGTCTCCATGAGAAGGACAGGTGTATTAACCGTAGGAGCTCAGTTCGGGATGTTTGACCGCTCGGTCTGGTCTTCATGAGCTGTGAGATCTTCATCCTCTTTTGAGCAGGACAGCGTGCCGTGTGGCGCCTCAGCTCTGCTAACAGAGAGTTTACGTCAGTAGTGGTGAGTGAAGTTGCTTTTCTGTTCACATTCAGGGGCGCTAAAAGGGGGTATGCAGTATATGCGGTGCACAGGGCCGCCACACATGGGGGGGGGCGCAATTGTGCCAAAACGATTTTTGAAATTATCCTTATGAAAAGTTTTAAATAATAGAAAATTAATGTTTTGTTATAAATGTTTATTTTGCATTTTACACTAGTATAATAATGTATTTTATTAAATGAAAAATTATACCATGAGTTTCATACGTTGGCACACATGTTTTGATTTAAAATCATTTAACACAATAACATGCAGTCACACAGCCAAATATAGCTGGATTGGGGAGGGGGGGGGGGTGCAAAAGTTGAACCCGCATACCCCTCAGTAAATGTGTAGTTGCGCCCCTGTTCACGTTTTCACACTTTAACATGAGTTCAGTGAAGTGTTGTTTAGTAAAGGAGCAGGTGAGTGTATATTTAAATTAGATTGGGTTGCAATTCATAATAACTCCAAACTACAGTATGTCCCTGAGTATTTTTAAATCATCGCCTAAAACATACGTCTTCAGGTAGCCTTGATTTGATTATTAGATTTATAATTGTTTTTATTTTTTCAGTCAACCATGTACAGTAAAAATAAGTATTGAACACGTCACTATTTTTATCAAAAAACACTACATTTCTAAAGGTGATGTTGGCTGGAAATTTTCCCCAGATGTTGCTTACAACCAGAGAAATACATATATGCATAGAAAACACATCTAATTAGTTTACAAAGGAAGTTCTGCGTAATAAATGAAATGACTCAGGGAAAAAGAATTGAACACATGAAGAAAGGGAGGTGTAGTTGGGCAGTGAAGTCCCAGACAGCAGCTGAAATCTCTCAGTAGTTCTTCAGCAAGCCTCTGCCCTTCCTCAGTGAGCTGCTTCAGTCCAACATCTACATCAGCAGGAGGATGAAGATCGAACCATTTCAGCAGGACAATGATGCAAAACACAGCCGAGGAGACTCTCAGATACTTTCAGAGAAAGAAAATCAAGCTGTAGAATGGCCCAGCCAATCACATGAGCCGAATCCGATAGAGAATACAGAATACAGCTCAGATTTGATAGACGAGACCCACAGAAGCATCAGGATTTGGACGCTCTGTTGAAGTCTGTGAGAAACTCACACCTGAGCAATGCATGAGGCTTCATTCTTGATGTGAGAACTTTAAATGAAACAAGCCTTTCGTTTAACGTATTAAACACATTCCAGTAGCTCTGTGCTTTCTCCTTCTGTCATTCCATTATTGACTGTGTTTTCATACTTGGTTCGTGATTAATTGTTCATTACTAAATGAAGTATTGAATTATTTACAATTCAGTTCATCAGGAGCAGTTGAGATCGTTCAGAATGAGTAAGCGATTAATAAACTACTCGGATGAACATGTGTACGTCTTATTTTTCAGGCATATAGTCACTATGTTAATGAGCTGCATGCAGTTTTGTGAGCTCTCACTCACTCGCTGGGTTCAGCAACACATTTAGATGTGAGCGTTTACCTCAGTGATGTGGTAATTAGTGTAAGTCATCTGTGATTAGCTGCTCAGGCCTGGGATGGTGGTTTGCTCTCGGCCTCTGGAACACAGGACAACACATTCATCAAGATGAAGCCCACAGTTCAGAAGACAAAGATCAAGATCTCCTGAAGGGGTAAAGAGAATGTCAAAGCACACACACTTTCAGCTGAAGTTTCTGGGAGACAAAAAAGACGTGTTAGTCAAGGTTTCTCACACACTGTTGATTAAAGGGATAGTTCACCAACTCTGCCATTTACTCACCCTTCAGCACAAAAGGAGATATTTTGAGGAATGCTAATAGCTGCCAACCATTTTTATCAGGTAACACTTTAGTTCAGTGGTCTTAAACTCAACTCCTGAAGGGCCGCAGCTCTGCATAGTTTAGCTCCAGCCACCTCTAACTCAGACCGGCTTGAAAGTCTCTATAGTCTCGAACACCTTGATTTCCTTTCTGAAAAATCCCGCTTAAACCAGCCTAGGATGGCTGGATGGTTTTACCTGGTCGATAAATCTGGTTTAAGAGGGGTTTTGGCCACTTCCAGGCTGGTTTCCAGCCATTTCCAGCCTGGAAGTGGCCAGCTAAAACCAGCTTGACCATCCTGGCTAGCCAGGCTGAGAGCCCAGCCAAAACCAGCTATGTCCAGCTTAAACCAGGCTGGTCAAGCTGGTTTTAGCTGGATTAAGCTGGTCATTTTTCAGCCTGACCAGCTAAGACCAGGCTGTAAATGGCTGAAAACCAGCCTGGAAATGGCCAACACCCCTCTAAAACCAGGCTGGTCAACCCCTCTAAACCCAGCCAACCATCCTAGGCTGGTTTAAGCTGGGTTTTTCAGCAGGGTAGTTGTATCACCTGTGTTTGATTAGGAATGGAGCAAAACTGTGCAGAGCTGCGGTTCTCCAGGAATCCAATTTAAAGTAACAACTGGCACCATTTACTATTACATTTTTAAGATATTAACAGTTTATTAATAATTTATAAACCTGATCTTATTTCACATCCCTTGTCCTACTCAATACCCAAACCTAAATCCGACTATTACCTTACTAACTATTAATAATCAGCTAATTTGTAGTTCATTGAGCTAAAATCCTTAGGTAACTTGTTTGTATTTTTCAGCATTCTTCAAAATATCTCATTTTGTGTTCAACAGAATAACAAAACTTTTAAAGCTTTAAAACCACATGATGGAGAGTAAACGATAAGGACGTTTACATTTTTTGAGGTGAATTACCCCTTTTACCCCTATTCTTTAATGGAAAAGCTCAATTGTACAATCTCATCTGAAAAGCAGCTCCATTGTTTTCCTTTAAATACTTTAAAAGCTGCAAAAAATGCATGATTTAAAGCGTACTCATGAAGACCCTCTTCAATACCCAATCATGCTAAATTGTACCAATTGATTATTTTGCCAATATATTATATAGTTACTGTTAGTGATTTTGCAGAAAGCAGAACGAAGGGACCCAATAACATGTCCGTTTATAAAACTGATGAGTAAAAACATAAAAAAGAATTAAGAAAATTAAATCAGGTTTCCCATGAAACTTCTATCGAGTTTTAACAGGTCTACTCCAGACATTGCATTTTATATATTGTTTGACTGGGTCAACGTTAAACAATAGTCCCAATAAAGCATCCGCTTTCAGTTAAAGAGGTAAATATGTTCTTATACATGGGCTAAAACAAAACAACAACAACATACTGTATTTACACATACAAAAATACATATCAATTGATCGGTGGAGCAGTTTTTTTGCTTGTGCTGTTTGGTTTTGTTCCAGAAATTGAATAAACAGATTACAAATTTGATGGTAGACCTTTAGTTTGCCCCTTATACTGTAGGTCATTCTTTCCAGAGCAATCTAATGCGACAAATCTTTCTACCAGAGCTCAATGAATGGACTTTCCATATTCTTCTAGTAGAGCCCTGCTGAAAAAAACAGAGTAAATCAGCATAGGCAGGTTGGCTGGTTTAAGCTGGTTGATCAGGCTGGTTTTAGAGGGGTTTTGGCCGTTTCCAGCCTGGTCTTAGCTGGTCAGGCTGAGAGATGACCTGCTAAAACCAGCTTGAGCAGCCTAACCA